AACTTATAAAGATTTTAAACTTAAGAAAAAACACAGAAATGGAAACGACGAATTTATATACTATTTCACTGATAGTGTTTGGATTGTATGTATCTACTTTACGTTTTTTTTTTTTCTTTGTTTTTAGTTTTGTTGTTGTTGTTATGCCTTTGTGGCCTGGCCTGCCCCCTATTAGCCATATGGCAAGTTTCACCTGCTAGGTAGGCTGGGGCCCAGTGCTTAGAACTAACTAACTAACTAACTAACTAACCTATTTTACATTTAAAATTATATGAAATTTATATAATTATACAAAATTTGGCTTTTATAACTGCAGTGAACTTTGCTGAATTAACATAATTTTGTATTAATATTTTCATAATAAAACAAAACTTATTTAATTTTCATTAAAGATTAATAATTATTTTAAAGCAAATTATACCATGGCTTGTGGGTCCCCAAGAACACAGTAATGGGAAATCAAGCAACCATGCAGTTTTCTTTATTATCCAGAAGGGGGGTTTTGCCTCTGAAGGCTCATTGTTGCCCACTTTTGATAGTCTTTCATTCACACAGTGGCAAAGATAATACTGAACCTAGAAATATCTTCATAACTTGAGAGAGCTATCAGATGAAGAAGAAGAATGACTTCATGGAGGACTTTTATAGAGGTATAACATCTGAAAAGTCATCTGAATCACTGTCGCAAGATTCCATTTCTTCTGAATCAGAATCGCTGCTGCCATTTTGAATTATTAATTCATCCACTATCTCTTCTGGAAGTTCGTCCTTATCCCAATAAGAATTTTCAAATTTTTCTACGTGGTTGCAGTACGCCTGCCAGTCTTGAGAAGTGACTTCATCGAAAGCTTTTTATGTTAAATTTTTCAAATTTTCCAAGCTTAGGTCCCCAGTCACTTTCCTTTCCCTGATCAGTCTTTTAACTGATGATCAAACATATCGAATTGCATTTAGATCACAGTGGTAAGGAGGGAGATGCACAGCATGATGCCCATTTTCTTTTATGATGTTGTTAATTTTATAGATTACAGTTTTAGGATGATTGCATTAAGTTAAACAGTTCCACTTTTCACGTTTTGGGATCGCAGCATATTGTCTTCTTCATCAACCAATTTACCATTGTTTGCTTTGTAGCATATTTCGTAGGTGTCGGATCTTCAATTTTGTGTGATACGGGGCATTATCCATGCATACACTTTGGGGTCGTAAATTTGGAATAAGCTTTTCGAACACTCATTTTTCAAAATTTCCAATGTTCATTTGCCCATGGTAATCCTCGCTTTGAGCTGATGCTTTATACAAGTTGGGCACCTGAAATAAATCCTGCGGAAGAGGATGGACAACAATCAGCCTATTTTTTGAACTGACATTTATCTGTGCGCCCAAAACCATATCATGCTGCCAACATTTCTTAAAAGTTAAATTGCTGTCAATCCATGTTTCATCATTGTAAGTGATGTGCACTTGTCCTGAGTTTCCTCATTTTGCGTAAATAATTGTTCCTCCAAAATACAATGTGAGGTCTTCTCTTTTGTTAATGCATCTCTTCCAGCAAAAATTTATTGAATGCAAAACTTTGCACAAAGAGTCTTTTTTGCCATGGGAAGTGTATTTTTTGCCTCAAAACAGGCAGTAATTTCCGCACAGATCGCACTTTCTTTTCTTTGATGTAAAAGTCTTGTATTGTCTGCCATATAACGCATTTGTCAAAATCGTCAATTTCACACTTATCCGTAGCTTGTGATGTTCTCTTTAAAACTTGAGGAACTACTAAAGAGTTCGCCGAAGCTTTAGAAACACAAAATTCTGCTACATTGAACACGATTTGATGTGCTTGAGACTTTAAAAGTTGACCTTTCTTAAATTGGAAGGGCATTTTAAAAAATTGGCAAATAACAAAGCACTACAAAAATCAAGCTAAATAGAAGCAAATTTAAAGAAATAACAGTACAAATCATATAACAACGAGAATAAAAATAGCTAATAGTAATACCGTATTTATGCGAATCTAATGCGCATCCCCATTTTTAAAACTTTAAATAATAAAAAAATTGTTTGTCAACGAATGTAATGCGCATCAATGGTATGAGGAATTTATTGAATCTTATTTTATACAACAATGGATTTTTATATAAACTATCAATCAATGGTATGATAATTTTATTTAAATTTAGATACCATATTTTATACATTAATGGATTTATACGTAAAGTAGCAAAACATAGAATTGACCTATTAGTGGGCTACTGTTATGTGAAACAATCATTGTTAATTACCACTACCGTATATACGGTACCTATTGTAAAATATGAACATGAAATAAATCGTAATATTTCTATCTAGCTAACAGTTTCTAGAATCAGTGATTAATAGTAAACGTCTTTATTCATTAATGTTTTCATCACTGGAATCCTCGCAGCTCTCTTCGTCAGAAGCAGATTCATTTCTTCTTTCCTCATCATCGTCATCGTCATCCTCGGCGTTCCAGAGCACGTTATCTTCACTGCCATTCGATGAATTTGAAATGCAGCATTTCTTGAAAGATTTCATAATCATTGGTGCTTCGATGTTTTTCCAGGCAGCAGAAACCCAGTGTGCACAATGTGCGGTGCAGCACGCTTATTTTTCCTGTCAGGGTCAATTCACGGTTTGGCTCACAAAACAATTTTTTGTACTCCGCCTGAACGTACCCATTAAAAGGTTTATTTATACTAACGTCCAGGGGTTGTAACACAGACGTCATCCCTCCAGGAATTATAACAAGATCACTGCCTAGGCTGTGCATCTTCTTTTTTACGTCGTCGGTGAGATGACCACGAACTGCATCCAGACAAAACATTGATGGTGGATTGGAGAGCCCACCGGAACAGCATTCCCATACATTTCAGAGCCAATCAAGCATTAATGATTCCGTCATCCACCCCTTCTCTTGGTTTCGAATCAGGACATCATCTGGGAATAGCTTTTCATTCTTAGGGATTTTAGGGATGTTTTCCGTTTGAAGATTAAGAAAGGGGGAAGTTTGCACCCGTCTGCTGTTATTGCCAGCATCACTGTTATGCATTGTTTTTCACATCCCGAAGCTTTGATGATAACTTCCTTAGTCCCATTCTTCGTAATGGTGTAGTTAAACGAGGCATATCAAACCGAAATTGGCATCTCGCCAGCATTGCCAATTTGCCCCATTGAAAAATCCTTTTCCTTCCGAAGTGAGATGAGACATACCGCTGAAATGTTAGTAGTTTTTCCTCAAAATCTGCAGGAGGAAGCTTTTGGCATATTGTTGTACGGCATCTTAGAGATAAGCCCATCCGCTTCATAAACCGATCCACCCATCCACGGCTAGCCTTAAACTCTTGTTTCGGTATTCCAAGAACTTCAACCTCCTCTTTTGCTTTATTTCTTATGGTGTCAGTAGTCACAGGTTGTCCATTCTCCCTCCTTTCACGTACAACTTCCAAAACGTTTTCTTCACTTTTAGGGTTTCTTCCTTTGCGAGGGCCAGTGAATTCCTTTCTACTAGCTTTAGTTGCAAACAGTGCCAATTTCTGTTGCTGCCACAAGCGAACATTGCTCTCAGCTACGTTGAACTCTCTCCCTGCCTTTCTATTGCCCTTTTTTTCAGCATAAAGAATTACTTTACGTTTGAAAGTAGCGTCATGTGACATTCTTCTCTGTTTGCCCTCCATTTCTTGACTACGTACTCTGCAGTTTGTATCCTCTATGCAATAATGTGTCAACGATAAATGTAACGGTAAATGTAGTCGAGAAATACAGTAATCCTTTGTTACGATTTAAATTTGGTTGACTCATCGGCAAACTTTGCACTCGAATCTAATGCGCCATCGAATCTAACGCGCACCCTAATTTTGAATACTACATTTGTCCAAAAAGGATGCGCATTAGATTCGCGTAAATACGGTAATATAAGGCTTAAGAAAAGATGCATGCAGCTGGAATGAAACCGAGAAGATGAATGATAAACTCTTTTCTCTTCAGCCAACAGTTGCCAAAAACAATTACAATAAAGCAACCCTTGGTTCGTCCCTATTTGAAATATACTAGCCCTGTTGCTATAGCGACTGCCACCCTCAGACACCGTAGTGGGAACTGTTCTTCCTGTAGACAAACAGTATAAAATATATACCAACTCTCAAAATTCAGGATTTCACGCAAGAAATTTTTTCAATTAAGTGAAAAATAGAATTTTTTTTTCAATTATTAACTCAATTATAAGCTCTTGGAGTCCATAAGTTACAATTTATGCAAAATTTTACCACAATTTAAATTATATACTGCACCTGAAAGGGTTACGGGTATTTAGTCCATAAAGTGCAGAAAAATGAGCATGAAAATAGACTTCATGAACTAAATTCAGTTAACACTGCCAGTAAAATAAAAGCTCTAAATTCAGGCACTATAAAAATGAAATATTTATATATTGCACTCAGTATTATGCAGCAGTTATTTCTGACTCTAACTGATGCTCAACAGTAATCAATCCATACATCCATTTGTCTTCCAAGAAACACATACTGGATACTATAAATATGTAGGAAAATACACAGCCTGGACAGAGTTTCATTATCAATGAATCATTATCATTTATGAAAGCTGATAATATCAAATCCTCACACATTAAAAAAAACAGCAATACTGCAATTCATTATCAATGATTTGATTATATCAAATCCCAAAACATAAAACAGTAATTTGCAATAGAAAACTAAATTAATATCCTTTTCATTCGAACAGTAAATGTACAAATAATATTCTAACAAGAGATGCTATTTAAATTATTAACTAAGGAACTATTTCATTTACACTGGAATAAAGTGATTGTTTCTATATAAACCAAAAGTACTTATCAAGAAAGAATAATAAAGAAAGTATAATGCAGTTAAAAACTAAATTTGTCATGCAGCTTTTTAAAATACACATACCTATAGTGATACAAAAATTTCAGAATTAAATTTTACATATTCAAATAAATCTCCTACTTGGTATAACAAATCTTCAAATACAAAATATTGATCATCATTCGAGGCTGTTAAATGTATATCCTGAAATAAATATGTAATAAGAGAAATATAAGTAATTATGTAAATAATACATTAAAACAAACTATCTAATCATAACACATGAATTAACCTAAAAGTAGCTATGAATTTCAGAAACTTCTATTACATTCAGATTAAATATAATCCTATAGAAATACTAAATTAAATCTTTTGAATAACTCTGAATGGCTAAAATTGTTTGCGATAGATGTTTTGTGTAGGGTATACTTTCATTTCTTACTAAGCAAATTAATATAAAAAGAAAGGAGGTGGGAATTCTTGTTATCTTAAAAAATTAAGATACGAGGAAAATTTCATGCTCTAATTTATGAAATATAGATGTACACTTCTGTTTGTAAAAGCTGAACACCAAAGAAGTATCATATGAATAAACAAATTTAGAGAGAATGCAAAATAAGTATTAAGATATGTAAATTAATAGACTTTCAAAGTGCATGACATAAGCATATACACTGCATTTAAAAACCATGCACAGGTCCAATATAGGGCTGGAACTGAAAATTAAAATTAAGTGTTTTGTCATCTGCCAACACTTAACATTTCATAAGAAGTCTCGATGTCTCATTACAATAAAAGACCCAATATAGGCAAGATCTGTTGTTTGAACATGGACAAATGATCAGTCTGAAAAAAGATCGATTTTCCCATTATGACAGTGCTTATATGGACCATAATGCTTTTTTAGTGATGTGTATGTTGGAAACAGTGACCTCAATAAGTTATGTGTCTAGCATTGGATCATGAAATGCTATATCAGCATAGGATAATTGTCACTTCATCTGTACGACAGCGAATCACTCTGCAGCTTCATGTTAATAGTTCATATGACATGGGAGCATTGATACAGATAAATTATTGCTTTAACACTTTGTTAGTATCTGTTACATCATGGATTGCCTGCATGCACTCCTTTGCACAGAATTCCTGACACAAAACCATCGACACTTGCAGCTACAATGAGCTCAACAGCACAGCCACTGGCATGTCAACTGGCAACAAATTGGCTTTCCTGATGAATCCTGCTTCAACATAAAGCATAATGATGATCAAGTATGGTTAGATGCTACAAGGGTGAACACCAATTTCAGGATTGCATTATCTGGCGTCACAGCTGATGATCGCCAAATTATGATGGTCTAGGACACCACTCGTTGTAACTGGCAATCTCATTTCCTAAGAATATAAGTACTCTCACCAGCAGCCATTGCATCAGACTTGTGGAGTCCAAAGTTGCATCCTTCACTCGATGCATTCCTGGAGATATTTTAACAGGACAATGCACATCCACAATCTTGTTAAAAATGTTTTAAGATTTCTTTTCAGAGCATTACCTACCACTTCTTCCTTGGCCTGCAGATTATCACCAGACATGTTGCCTACTGAACATGTTTGGGATTTAAGAGATTTGTGACACTTATCTTGTAGCAGTACAGATCAACTTTAAGCTCGGATAGAAGTAATGCCAAATTCCTGTAACAGTGCTCCCATGTCGTATTAATTGTTAATATTCCTCAGAAATTCCTTCTGTTTGATTCAATGATGCGAGCTCTTATTGCAACACATGGCAGTTTCACCAAATATTGATTTTTGTATTTAATATCCTTGTATGTTTCTACAAATTTATATAAACTTTGCAGCACTACATGTTATATGCAAAATAAATTTCATTCTATTCCAATGAGTGCAGTTTTCACAAATTTAAGTTTAAAATGCTTATATTAAAAATATTTTGAAATTCATAAATATTTTGAAATGAAAATTTCAAATCTAAATAATACTTTGATAAAATATTTTCTTAATATAACAAACTATTTAAATTATTATTAAATTACTTTAAGCTCATAAAAATGTAAAATACATTTAAAAAGAATAACATAAAGATAACCAAAGACCACTTTCATCAAATTACTTGAGTCTGCATTCACACTCGCAAGCATATACAAACATACATAACTATGAACATTTGAACTAACTATGAATAAAAATTAAAATGTCTACTTTTTCTTATAAAATTAGTTTAAATGTTCAGTATAACTAACTTATAGCATCATTTTGTATTTTGATGACATTTGTGTGGGAAAAATAAAATTAAAAAAAAAAAAAAAAACTATAGCAATTAAAATGAATCTGTATGATAGTGCCCTATAATTTAAAAGCTTAATATTCCCTATTAATTCTTTTGGATACCTTCAACAAATATCATTCTTTACTATCAAATTATTTCTTCTATAATTACTTTAATAAAATACATAAATTTTCAAATATTAGGAAAAGATGTAAAAATTGCATTAACTTACACAACAGTATTCCCATTTAGCAACATTTGCCCCATTTTATGAACAAACTGGTATTGCATGACCAATTTTAGCATACAAATTATCTTTCAAAACTATCTTTTTAAAAAAATCATAGTAATTATAAAGTTTTCTAAACTTTACCACCAATACTGAAAGTTTAACATTCAGAAAAGTTTATACACATACATGTATAAATTATCATACAAATCATTTAAAAGAACTAATTTCATCATTTCAAAGAAGTTAAACTTTATATTCTTAAACTGAATGTTCAATGAGAGAAGAGAGTGAATTTTAAATCAATCTCATCTCAGAATCTATAAAAGTGTTAATTCTCAGAACTCTAAAAATAAGGAATTGATCATTTTTAAAAGCTAAAAATAGTTCTAAAATATGTGAATGATTCTGAAACTAAACTCCTGCTATTCTGGTTTAACTGTAGCTGAAATTCTTTATATTTAAAATGAGTTCTTGACACTTGACATTCTTCTATCAATATTCACTGAAGTGATACTGAAAGTCTTGTGTACAAACTAAAGATGATGAATTACAATCAATATTCACATGAAAAGCAATGTAAAAACGGAATTACCAAGACATAAAGTGTAAAAAATAATATAAAATAGCAAACTAAATACAAAATATGCATTTCTTCTTATCGCAAATAAAACTATACAAAACAAATACATAAATTACACCTAAAATTATACCTCCCAAAATTATGAATTCCAATGATATTTACCTTAAAAATTAACTTGTCAATTAATAAATCATGCTGAAAGACACACGATTTCAGATGCTTGAAATTCAGCTTTTGCTACACAAAACAATAAGAAAGATGAATTACATTTCAACTTAAAAACATTAAAACATACACTTATTTTCTAACATTACAAAACTTTCCACTTTAAAAACATATTTTGTACAGAATATATTTAAAAAATGTCTTTGTAAATAAATAATATATTTAAAAATTAAAAAATATACAAAATTAAATAAAACTGATATTTGGTCTTTGCATATAGATTCTATCTTTATACCTGAAACGTTTTAAGCAAAACGGTTATACTAAGACCAATAGTTTTAAGATTTCCCCGAAATTAAAGCCACGGAATATAAAATCACATAGTATTTAAAATAAGCTCACAACAGCAATGCAGCAGTTCACAATTATAGGGAGAGGGGAATTTGCAGCGATATGTTTCCATCGTAATTGTGAAATTTCTCACTAGAATGCTTATGCACAAGGCTTACACAAATACTCCTTGGTGTTAAGTAGGATTATTGCTAGTACTTTGTCAAGACACAAAATTCACAAAAAGAAAACAATGACACCTTGTTTGAGTGTTAAAAGCTTTAAAGTAATGTTATCATCTACATGTAATATTTCAAAAATAATATTACATCTATGACTATATAAGAATATTCAGCAAATTCATTTCACTTGATGTTCTTATATTTCAGTATGTTTTATCATATTTCTGTGAAGCCAAACAAATTTTGTGTATTATAACAATTATTTAGGGAGAGTAAAAAAAAAATTAATTAAAGTATTATATAATGAGATCCATATGAAAAATGAAGTAAGAACCAATGTTAATATTATATTTTCATAATCAATCCACCAGCTGGTATTAAAATGAAATTCATACTGAATTTTACTAATTAACGAGACAAAGATATATTGAGTGACATTTTTAAGATTTCTACAATGTTATACAATCGTGCTATTCAATATATCTTACCATTCCTAAAATTAAATTATTGTTAAAGATTCTTATCTTTAGACATGTGACAATTCTCTCTGGAGCTTTATCTTTTCAATTAAAATATTTTTACTTACATGTAAATATGATTCTTACCCCATAAAATGAGAACAATGTTTTGATACCAAATTAACTTTTAAGCTTTTAAAAACTACCAGCTGAAAATAAACACAAATTGTATATGCCACTCACAAAAATCAAAAGATTTTGAAAATGTATTCTTTGACAGAAAGATTTTAAAATAGTAAACACTATTTTCAACAAGTTATTTTAAATTAAAAATGATTTAATGAAATATAAAAGATATGCATATAAAACATTTTAATTCAAAAGTATTTATAAAAAATACAATTAAAAATTATACATACTGCCCCAGAAATATCTACACCTAAAATTAAAGACCAAAGATCAGCTCGCAGAGTTGCCGGACAGCCCCTTTTACAAAACTCTCGAGCCACAGTAGCTTGATTAGCATCAAGCACTAAATTAAAAAAAAAAAAAAAAATTGAAATTAACTTAAAGAACATATTTACATGAATGATACAACATAGAAATTAGCCAATAATGCTTTGCAAATATGTAACCTGTAAGCAAACTTATGTGGACAACAGTTCAGTTCACATAAATTATTTAAACTTAAATAACAATCAGTAATAACTCTTAATTATAAAAAAGTTCTTAATTAATATTAACCATTCAGATATATTATAAATATTTCAAACTACATTTTGCTTTTATTAAAAACATTTTATTTCAGTCAGAAAAACAAATGTTAAACCATCTACAACCTAAAATCAACAGAGCATAAAAAAAATAGTTCTGAGAATTTTCGATTTTGGGATATCTGATTAATTTAGGTACAAATAACATGCCAAACAAATATTAATTTAGAAGTCAAACAACAAAAATCAGCTTTATATTTGCAAATTTTTACAGGACTAGTTTCGATGGTTTTACCGAACTATCACCCTCAGCTGCCAAAGAGAAGATGAGAATGAGATAAGATAAGAATGGCTGGACAGGAGTTAAGCTACTGTCATCATCTATTGATGAAACAAGAAAACGAAAGAATAATTTCCTTAAAGGATCAAGGAAAATATGGATTGGAATTAGGGTCGTTAACTAGAACAGAGATATATTTTTTTAAAATGTGAAATGCCTCTAGAAAATCTAATTCACCAATGGAAGATGTTTTTTGAATAATTTGGCTGCAGAAAAATGGAAAGCATGATTTTTGGACCAACAATGCTGGGCAACAGACGACTTCTGTGTTTCCCTTTTTCTAACATATGCCTCACGTTCCTTAACGTAAAATTTTAAGGCTCTCTTAATTTGACCAATGTAAATTAAACCACACTGGCAAGGAATACCCTGGGATTCATATCCGGAATGGAGTCCTTAAGTATGAAACTCAGAATTTTATTGATACGAGAATAAACAACCTGAAAGTTAAATTTCTGTAAAATACATGCAATTTTATAGCTAACTGATAGAAAGAAAGGAATGATAAGAGAGTTCTTATAATCTCCTAAAGAAAGAATGCTTTTTTGGTGTGTTGAGACAAGAATTTTTTAACTCCTTTGTCAATAATGTTGGGTGAAAAGCCCCTATTAATAGCTATTGCTTTTAAATAATTTAGTTCTCAATCAAGAGCCAATTTGGAGGAGTAAACTTGAAGTGCACGAAAAACAAAGGAATAAAATGAAGCTAACTTTTGTTTAGTCGGATGACATGATTTGAAGTGTGGAAGCCAAACCGATGAAGGTTTATGGTAAACAGTCGTACTCACATTGGATGTGTTATGTGTGACCAAAACATCGAGGAACGGAAGAGAACTGCTTGTCTTGAGTTGAAAATCTAGAAACTAAATGTTTAGCTAATGGGTACGAGGCAGCGCCTAAATTTGATACAATACGGCGGAAAGGAATACCACTTTTATGAATTTTGGGGAAAGCATATAATCTGGCACAATTTGCAACAGATGGGATAAGCGACTGTTTAAAGTCAGTCGAAAGGATTTGTGAGGATTTGATCATAGTTTTTATTTTTGAGAGGTCCGAAGATGAAGGGTCTTTAGGGAATGGATTTGTGAGGATTTGATCATAGTTTTTATTTTTGAGAGGTCCGAAGATGAAGGGTCTTTAGGGAATGGATTATAGGGTCCTTTGTTTAAGAATTTAGTGACACCATTGATGTATGTGTTCTTGCCCATGATGACTAACTGGCCACCTTTGTTGGAAATGATAATGTCCGGGTTAGAATGAATTTCATGCATTGTGGCCCTTTGTGTCAGATTATATGCTTTTACCAAAATTTATAAAAGTGGTATTCCTTTCTGCCCTATTGTAACAAATTTAGGCACTGCCCATTAGCTAAACATTTAGTTTCTAGATTTTCAACTCTATTAGATAATAATAATATTTACAGTATAAAAAATTCAATAGAGTTTGTAAAAAAATCAAAAGGCTGATAAAAAGCCTTAGGGATAAAAATATTTAAAAACAGCCTACCTTTAGAATTTCTGATAGACAATCTTGTGCATTGGAGATAAAAATATTTTTTTTCTGTACAATTTTACTACTGCTCACTTTGAAGTAATTGAATCTGTTAATCAAAAATTCTTTAAAGTTTTACAAAATTTGAAGCACACAAAATATTTAAAAACAGCATATCTTTAGAATTTCCGCTAGGCAGTCTCACACACTTGAGATAAAAATGTTTTTACGTGCATAGCATTGTCATTGCTTGCTTTGAAATCATTGAGTTTGCTAATAAAAAAATCATTAAATTTTTACAAAATATGATACACACAATAAAACAAATTAGAAATTCAAAATTCGGATTTCCAAGTGTCCATATTCAGATGGAGGACTACGTTATTCAAAATTTGATGGCTCTAAACACCAATTCTTTTCATAATGGGAAAAACATGCATACATTCATGCAAATTCTTCATTATCTAATTTTTTCACTATAATACAGGGCGACAATATTTGGTGGCAACAATTTGAAAAACGATTTAACATAAAATCTCGTTTTGAGACTTAAGCCCTTCTGGCCTAACGCTTCTTTGGTCTAAAATGCAACAACTATAAAAGCTCTAAACAGTATTTTTTTAACACATAAATTTAAAAGGGTTCTCTCATATAGTCAAAATAAGTAATAATAAAATCCTAATTATTAGCCTTGTTTCCTATATTGATATCATAGTACAAAAGGATAATGCAATCTATTGCTATTAGTTAATTATTTATTCCATAGATGGTGCATTAAAATGGTATTTTTATATTTGAACATGCCATAAAATGGAAGGAAACGGAATTATTAAAACAATTAATTTTAGCGCCTCCATCTTGAAAATAACTAACTAGCTAACAGAAATAGATCATACACTGTGGCATATCCTATTAAAGTTTAGACTTTGCTACAACTAACTACACATTAAACTTCTAATTGCATCAATTTAATATAAAATACCAAAAATGACATTTATATGAATTTTTGAATTATATATTGGGTCAGTCCATAAATTCGTGCACATTTTCTTGGTAAATTTTTAAAAAATATAAAAAAAAAAAAAACACAATTTAACATTTTAATCAATTATATATTTTTCTCCATTATCTACAATGTCTTGCCATCTTACAGGCAGCTTTTTTATGCCACTGCTGTATACTCTGGTTTTGATGCAAAAAAACTTGAAAGTTCATTGTTCATTGTTCATCATCCTGTTTAGAATTTAATTTTTTTCACAGAAAAAAAATTTGTAAGGCACGAAATAAGTGAAAATCACTTGGGGCAATATCTGGGGAGTAAGCAGGATGTGGCAAAAGCTTCCAATTAAATTCACTAATTTTTTGCAGTGTTGTTCAAGCCGTATGCGGTCTAGCGTTATCATGATGAAACACCACTTTCTTGATATTCACCAGTCGTGGGCGTTTTTTGATCAGTTCAGAATCTAGACAGCAAAGTTGTTCGCTATAAACTTCTGAATTAATCGTTTGATTTGGTTTTAACAGTTCAAAATGTCCTGAATGGGGTTCATCATCAATGCTGCTTTTTCCAATTTAAAATTTTTTAAACCATTTCTGGGTAGTCCTTACACTAATGGTGTGTTCACCATGTACACTATAAATTTTTATCGCTGCAAACCTGGCAGATTCACCACACAAAAATAAAAATGTAGCACAGCACATTTGTACTGATTATCTATATTCATCTTCTATGGGTACTAAATTGCATTCGATATTTATGAAAGTTGGTGATGAACTGAATAATATGTTAGTCAAACAATGACAGTTTCAACAGGTTCAAAATTGCATTGTTTTAGTAAATGCATCATAGTGAATTCCACGCATACTCTTTAATGCGCACAAACTTATGGACTGACGCGATAAATTACAACACAGTTAATTAAACAAAATTTAGGTAGGAGGTAAAGAGTATACAGTACAAAGTTCGTAATCCAGACTCATTGGGACTCTCGTGATTCCGGATTAGAGGTTTTTCCTGATTATAGATCATTAATTTAAATCTGGTAAGATGGCAAGCAGAAATTATATAATTAAAAATATGAAATCATAATTTATGAAATAAAGAGCAATTATGATCCAAAGGGTGTCAAAATTTACAAAAAAAAGCTTAATATTTATTTTTTTACTTTATTAAAAATTTCTTTTAATGTAATTTGTTAAAGTTGCTTCATTTTTTGTGCTAATACTTTCTCTTTAATTCTAAAAATAGACATAATTTCTTGTTCAGTTACAAAGTTCAATTTCATTTTTGTTTGGTGGACATCGAAACATGCTTTCGCTTTGTAGATCCTTTGGCAGCTCCAGAATTGGAAACTCTTTTTGACATAATCGAAAGTCCAATCTCAATTTTTATAAAATTGCTCTAACAGTCTGCAAAAAATAATAAGCCAGATTCAATTAGAAGATTAAGGAACAGCGTAATCTGCAACATTAACAGAAATGCCTTAGAATCAGTAAAGATAATTTTAACCTAGCTTATACCGTCCATTATACATTAAACGCGCATGCGTAAAGCATACAAAAAAAAAAAGTTTGTGGATTTGAGGTTCTGATTATAGATCATTCCAGATAATGGACGTCTGGATTACGGACTTTGTACTGTATACTATTTATTCCAAATTTTAAATGAATAAAAAAAAGTATGTACAGAATTCAGAATTAAAGATACAGAAGATGTTTTCTTAAAGAAATTGATGGAAAGAACTCACCATGTTTTCCTAACGATACTCTTTCTTTTAAACATTTTTTAGAAATATCACTGTTTGAGAAAGGCAATATATTAAGACCTAAGTGATCAATATTCCCAGACATTTCCTCAAACTGTAATCGCTAAAAATAATAAATAAATAAATAAATAAATTAAAAAAAATAATTAAAAAATTCATGACATTCTTTGCAATAACTGTATAGCTAAAGGCATTTAATTTATACTGCCTACTCCAATACAACATAGATTAATGACAGCTGCAAAATACGATTCTTTATAATCAAATTCTTTTGATGTAATGAATGCATCAGCTAATGTGATACTAACACATATTAGGTAAAAAATGTATTACTACTATATATTATTTAATTTTTTTAACACAAAAATGTATGAGCTATTAGCTTCCTAACTAGCTTTTTTTTATGATCTAAGAAAAATCGAGATTTTTTAAAAAATATTTTCTCATAAAATATTCACTATAAGTTCTCCAACTTTATGTTGCTCCATACAATTTAATTTTTGCGCCACTTGCACCACTTTCCACTAGTTTCAGATAATTCCATATAATATATTTCTAACATTAGTTTATAATCTTCAATCCCTGAAGGTAGAAAGTAAGTAAATAGGCCCTAATGGTTTTCCACATACACTGCTTTGAAGCACTGGTGTTCCCTTCATTGAGACCAAAACATTCAGTGACTTACCATTAAGATCAATGGGTTTTGACACAATCAGATGTAAACATTTTGTAATTACATCATAAATATATGTATAAATTCATATATTTTCTTTTTCTACAATATTTCAGAATCTTAAGTATGTAAAAAGAATACATTTTTAAACATTTCATTCTGAATGAAATTAAATGCTATACTTTTCACAAAACAGTTTGCTCAGAACAGTTCAATTTGAATTAAATATTTTCACAAGTTTTCGTTAATTACATTAGAAAACAAAAAATTAAGGTAATTCGATTTTACATGATTAAGGATTACAAAAATTAGTACAGGGTTCGTACACATTTCTGCACACGGAAATTAAGTACTTTTAAGGACCATTAATGAGAAAATTAAGGACCTATGAGCAAATTGGAACTGAATAAATTCAATTAATATTATCCATGCCTTAATTTCACTTTTGTAATACCATCCTAAAAATGAAATAGATCCCTAAGTAGTATGCATTATTAATAAACATAAATTAATTAACATAATTATTAATAGGTTTGAGAATAAAGTAAACTTATGCAATTTATCAAGTAGCATTAAATTTTTTAAACTTATAATAGTTGACATATTTGAAACAAGATAAGTGACATTTACATTTTACTAACTGTTAGCTTTATGTTGACTTTTTTTATGTCTTATTTTGTCACATACTTGGTCAGTCTAGAGGTTTAGTAAATAGCAGGTAGATTTTATGTCAAACAGCATAGGTTGAAATGAGAAGTAAGATCATAATCAGCATGATTCTTAACCAAAAGACTGAATGTTGTCATCACTGCTGCTTGTCTAGAGAGAGGCCTGCTGATTAGAGCAAACCTGAAAGGCCTGACCTAGGCACGGTTGACAAGTGTTGAAAGTTAGTCAGGGTCTGTTTGATGCCGTTAGTGTCATAGCTTCGTGTAGAGTTCCAGGGATTGTAACCCCGTTGATATACTTTAAGGTTCCAATAAGCCATGAAAGCACCAGAGGTGATAAACTGTTTTGTATTATTTTAAGTCTCACTAGATGCAAAGAATAAGTTTTATTTCAATTTTTACATTTTTTTATTTTATCTTGTGACCACAGTGAGTATCAATGAAAGGAAATAACTTGCTTTAATATGTAAAGATAATTTTTAAGGGTTATGCAGTTAGTTATAAATAATTAAATTAGGTAGTTTGATAACCTTAGTCATTATGGATTTACATGGCCACTATTAAATTTTATTTTTTAACAATATTTGTTACAAAAACACTATTAAAATCAAAATCTAATAACATTTCACAGTTTAAAATACATGTAATTTAGGACATTAGAATAATTACACATTAAAAGCTACAAAACATTTACGTCTTGTAAAACAACACTCAAAAATATTTATCCATCATTTTAACTTGAAGCTTTCCCATTTTGCCTCAATTTCCTTCTCTTTAAAGCATCTTTTCTAACAATTACAGATTTGTCTCAATATGCAACCAATGCTCTCGCTCGTTTCTGCGTGCTTTATGTCCTAACTTGCCAACCTCTCCACAATGTACCTACGAGGGTTTACTTGATCTGGTAAAAGTTAAATAGTCCAAAATCCCCCGACAGATGTGAAGAATATTATCGCTATGTCTGAAAGTATTTACAATATCAGACAAAAGTTTAAATAAGCTTCTTATTTAAAAGGAACTTAGACCATAAAGGCATTTTCTAATGCTAACAAAATCAATTACAGCTCACGGTGACGTAATTAAACAAGAACAGTCTAATTCAAACTAAAAATGTGGACTAGCGATATTATGATTTATTTAAATAATTTAATTTGGCTCAGTAACTCTATCATATGAGGAAACAGAAATGGGAAATTATAGTAAAGGCTCAAATCATAAACAATTGGGTAATTTACATAATAATAACTGTACATATTTTTGAAGAATAATTTTCTTTATGTATTCAGTTCCTTTCTTCAACACATTTCCTTTTCATTTTAGAATTTTTGGATTTAATTAAGGATTTCTGTTATTCTAAAAAACACTAAATGCATTTAGAATTTATACAAAAAGCGGCTAATTTTATTTCTTTAGTAATATGAACATTCAGAAGAAATATGAAATATATATGGTAAAGGCAGGTTACAGAGCTGATGTGGCAGAATTTTTAGAATTTAGTAACACAACGAACAACAAAATCTAGAAATGGCAAAACTTTTAGAATTTAGAGCAGACATTGGAAGCAGAATTTAGGATCCACAGAGATTGCATCAGGTGGGAAAATGTGTACCAGCTCTGTGTATGATGCATTAAGACATATTAGATGAATCTTTTAAATTGTAAGTATTCAATTTATTTATTAATAAAAACATTCTTATCTATAATGCCTGCCCATGTGATAAGATTAGAAGCGTTTTTGATATTTTCCATGCTTGTGTCTAGTGAAAAGTAGAGAAAATAAAGGGAAAATAAACATGTTAAGATTCTAGAATCAGAAGTAAAACATTCAAATATTATGTTTTCATTGTTCTTCCAGACATTCTCAAAAAAGTAAGAAATTCATTGCAAACTTTCTGTAAAATACATCCATTATGTGTTGATACCATGGAGACATTTTTCATTTTGTCACATATTTCTCGAATCGTGGGTCCATAAATCTTGCCTTCAAATCCTTCTAAACGTTCCAAGCTGCAATGTCTAAAATCCTAAAGAAAAATTATCCCTACCAATTCTGTAACAGCAAAAAGCCAGAGATATTTTGGAAAAAGGAAAAAGGAGGGAAAAATTGTAAAATTAATTTTATAGAGAAAACTGGTGCATATTCTGAGAATTTTGAATATACTGAGACAATCACATGGGAAAAACTCTTTACAATGAAAAATTACAAAAGAAGACATTTTTAATTAATTACATAGCTAATTTTGCTTTTGCTAAGAGCTGTTTCGTAAATTGTGCTTTATAGCATTATACCTCATTTATTTTTCAGATTAAAAAATATTGTATAAGTTGCCAAAATGAAACTTTATAATATGACAGCAAAAAATAATAATGTTTTATTTTAATCTTCTTTTTTAAATATAATTTCAATATATTACCATTATTTTAATGAAATTGATCAATGTTACGATGTTTAAAAAAAAATTGTCAAAAAAAAAAATTCAGATCTCGGAATTAAAAATTTTCTATAGAAGCTGATCTTAAAATCGCCAAACTGTTGATAAGTCGCGAAATTTAGAACTATTTAATAAAAGAATTCACATTTCCAAAGCGAAAAGTTGTTTAAGAGCTCTTTATTAGAAAAAATTAATTTCGAAATGCTTATGTTTCACTTCTTGCTTAGAAATTCCAGTATTCCATCATTTATATTAGAAATAGAAACAAATTATAAACCATGAACCCATTCAAAAGATAACCATATATGTCAGTGAATTGCCAAAAATATTCCTCCAAAATGCTAATTCACACTCGAAATGGCAGTCCTAAAAACAGACAGAAATTTCAGATGATTAAAATTAAGGACCTCCTACCGATTTTGGTGAAAATTAAGGACTTTTAAGGACCAAAAATCAATTCAAAAAAATCTAAGGACTTTTAAGGGCTCTTAAGGACCCTTAAGGACCGTACGAACCCTGTAGTAAGAACAAAGTTTGTTATATTACAAATATTAAAATATTAAGCATTATTTCTTTTCTATTTACAGAGCTTCTTTCTAAAATACTATCTCGAATATGACATGATATTTTAGATTCTGAGGCATCTTTTTAATCAAAAATCTGAGTCAATTTATAATTAACACTCTGTTCTGTCCATTTCAAATTAGAGCACCTTTTACAGTGAGATACATTAAATAGTGGTGCTCATTTCCATGTACTTAAATTTCTCTGAATATTTCTAGAAGGGAATACAAAAAGGATTTTTTAAAAATATTATTTAAAACTTGTAACTGAGTTATTATAAAATGTAAGGGAATAATTCTTTTTAATACTTCTCAGATTATTTTACCCTTAATTTCAATAATACATATTCTAAAAATCTTCTTTACTGCTTCTTTATAAGTATGCATCTCATAGAATTTGCTTTACAATACCATGCTTTCCTTAAATTGCTTTCCAGTATGAACAATTCTTGTTTATATAGTTTTATAAACATATTTGTCTACAGAATTTCAATTTATGTTTACAATTCAATATATATTTAGATAATATTATAATCATTATAATTTCAATACATTTAATAACTAGATTTCTTCACAGAAACTTTCACAGGAGTTTATGAATGAATAAATACTTCACTTCCAAATAAATTTATAAATAATTTAATAAACATTTGTACATTTTGTTAAAGGCAAATACATGCTTTTCGCAAGATACATGCATATGCATAAATATTCATACCTATTTCATATTTTTTCTTTTTGGCGTGTGAAAGTCTTTAATTTCTGTATATTTACTATATTTTTTTGAGTAAAGTAATTTACAATAATTTAGCATACACTAGAAATTTTTACATAAGAAATATGTAAAATATAATTAATTTTCAATTACGATACTGAGAGCAAATATTGTAATATGCTCCAGTTAGCCATTCTTTGTCTATGAATGAGACCTGAGTACATTAAGATGCGAGCATGAGCCTCAGATTTCCCAGAAGAAAAGACTTGGGTGGGAAACATTTAAGAATCTAAAATCAATAAGAGAACCATTCATGATCGGACCTCCTTTGGCAGGATACACAAATGTTTTCACCTCCGTCGATTACCCTGCTTTTAATTTCTTAATAAGCTGTCTTGATGATGTGGCATGTTCTAATGGTTACATCACCTTGACTGTACATGGCACTTCCGCCAAATTTTCAAATGTATCTGTCTTCTGTTCCACACATTTGTATTAAATCCTTGACTTTAAAATTGAATATAATTTTACATAAATGTGTGGTTACAAATAAAGGAAAAGTTCACTTATTGGCTTATCTGTCTGTAATTTTGACGAGGATTGCAGCATTTGGTGGTAATTTTATTTTTTAGTAAACCTAAAGTGTAAACCCAAAGTGATTATTTTTCAATTATATAAAAATAAAATTATGAGTTTAAAATGAGCAACTATGAAGCCTCTCCTCTAAAATTTTTAAAGATACATGTTCCAATAATATGTAGATGACAAAAAAATTTATTTTATTTAAAACATTTTGGTGTTTGGAATACAAAATAAAAGTAACAAATACACTATCAAGGGTATTGAAAGATGCATACAGTTTTAAAGGTATCGTAAGGTATTTTTCATTCTTTAAGCATAAGATTTTTGCTAAAATCTACATTTTTGTAATTCAACAGCTTAGAATTTTATAAAACAAATTTATAATCAAAATCTCTGTTGTTAGTTATCGGAAAATAACCAAGACATGATTTCTGCATAAATGTCACTAAACTATACAAACTGCTATTATCCATCACACAATAAATGTTTCTTTTATGTAGAAGTGTCCCGTTTTTCGATTTGTATGGAGCTGTCATGTGTTGATTACTATCAAAGCGTTGTCAAGGGAGCTTCTGGATGTAAACAAAAAATACCTCATCTGGAGAGTGAAGCCGGAGAACAGTGCTTCATTTGTAGTGTAGAGTTGGCCCCTCCTTTTATTCTCACCTCCATGATTTAATCATGGGGAAGGAAAGAAAGGAAAAAAAAGGGGATGAAAGGCAGTCTCCTGAATTAAATTAGTTAAAGAATAACAAGGGCCATCTCTCAGTTCTGTTAGAGAAAACCTGAAGGAAAGGGCTATGAGGGTTTGACATATCTTAACTCCATACTGCTAATCTCTTAAGATAACTTCTGGACAAAAAGAATTTAAATGACTCCATCCCATACATGGACGGGCTGTCTTTGAAATTTTCAATAAGGATACCAACAAGCATGCCTTATCTGACATTCTAAGTCTTAGCAATCAGTTGGTGGTTGAATTACAGCCAGAATATTGACCACATGGTAACTTATATAACTTTACATAATATATGCTAAAATATACCAATGAACAAGAAATTTTTGAAATATTTACTTACTAACTGATGAAAGCTTTTAACTTTCAGTGGCACTTTGATAAGACCCCAGTTGGTTGAAGGCCTACAAAATGTATGAAAAAATATTTTATTACTTGTTACAAAAGGTCAAGGATTTAATTTTAAATAGCATTAATTATTATTATTTTAAAAATTTCTAATTTTCAAAATACCAAAAATCTTTCAGCAAAAAGTGTAGTACTTTCTTGTCCTTCAGCAGTTGATTAAAATTTCTGACATTACAAATGGAAATTTATAAAATAAGATAATATTTGAACACAGAGAAAAACACCTTGGATAAGAAAATACATATAAGAAAAAATAAATCAAATAAATATTACTTTTAGATTAATTTTCAAAATTAAAAAAAAAATATTAATTTTAGGTTTAATTATCAGCAATTTATAAAGTTATTCATAGCCTATGTATGAATACAGAGATGAAAATATATCAATAAAATAAACAAATATTTAGTATAACGTTTTTATTTTCCTTTTTAATAACTTTCTCTGCCAGCTGTTTCAAATTATTACAATAACTACAAATTATTACAAAAATTCATGTGTTCATGTAGTTGAGACACTTGAAACAGATAAATACAGCAGGAATGCCATACTGTATGTATTTGAAATACTTGAACAGATAAATACAGCAGGAATGGCCATACAGTAGATTTTCACAGGTAAGTGGTGCACCTCTCATGAAAATAAAACATATTGTATATGAATTTGGTATAATGTAATATGAACGGCTTTGCGAAGAAAGCGAAGCTTTGCAAAAAAAAAAAAAAAAAAAAAAAAAAAAATAAGATTACATGAGCAAGTCTACCTAACATTGAGGTAAACTGGGGAGATATTGTTTAGCTGGAGATAATTCTAGCGGCTAATTTGTATTGCCATACTTTGCACGAAATTGCCAATAGTTCCCAAACTTGAAAACCATTTGGAGACATATTGGTCTGTCCCAGCATCTCAGTAATTTATCGCTATATGCCTTTCAGTAATGTCAAGAAATGCAAGGTACTACAGCTTTCTCAATGGTCAGTAGGAAACTATATAAGACTGAAGGGAGAGTTAACTTCAGACTATTGAAAGGACTGTGAGCTTTGCTCTTTAGATCTGCATTGCATTGCGTTGTGCTTAACATTCTTGGAACTTTGAAGTAGTGACTAGTGATTGTGCGTCATCACACAGAGAAGAACTGTATGAGTACTTTGGCAGAAAGTTTCTGAAATTTAAAGTGTTTCTTTTGGGAAAATAAATTTTATCAAGCTATCATTAGTTCTGGGTGTACCCTCTTCCTAGAATTAAGACATTCTGGACATTCTTTCTGGAAGCAAGCAGTTCTCGATATTTCATTTAAAGAGTGAATATTGGCTAGTAGGGATACACACTGATGACTGAGAAGAGATAATATTTACTACCATACAAGGATTTTTTGGCAGTTTAAGGTGATGCAGCTTGGATATTGTAATGCAATGGAAACATTTGAACACCTTTATAGAGACCATGCTAAAAGGTCTTTTCTACGAAGCCTGTCTAGTATACCTAGACAACATCTTCATTGTACAGAAAAGTTTTAAAGAGCATTCAGAAAATATTAGGAAGATGCTTTAGAATTTGAAGGAAGCCAGACCTGCCAAATGTAAATTCTTCAACCAGGAAGAGATTTACATTGGTCATATCATCTCTGCGGAAGACATGTGTATGGATCCAGAAAAGTGTCAGCAGTTAAGGATTGGAGACACCCCAAAAATGTCCATCAGCTGAGACATTTTCTGGAGCACTACATATACTATAGGATACTGGAGCAAGTGGCTATCTAAACTGGAGAAGAATTACTGAGTCACGAGGAAAGATTTGCTCACCATACTTAAAGCCATTAAATATTTCTACCATTATCTCTATAATAGAAAATTCGTACTCTGCACAGATCATGCACCATTAAAATTCAAGAATTCTGAAGGCCAAATATCCAGATGGATTTAGATTCCAGGAATATGGCATCATTATCCACTGAAAACGATCATTACACGGAAATGCCAATGTCCTGTCTAGAAGACCCTATTCAGAAAGCAGCCCAAATTGTTCCAGGGTTGAAGAAAAATAGGAGTTAGTTAATTGTGTAGTCGTCAAACTACAACTTCAATATCCTCTGGCCCAGACCAATGGAGCAGCGAAGTCACGAAAGAATAGTTGGAAGACAGCGATGTTAAAACCCTAACTGACTTAATGGACTCTTCAAACAGGAAATCTACCTGGCAGGGCCTTTCAGTCTATAGTCCTATGACAGAAGAATATTGGGCTTTCTGGAATTCGCTCCACATTTGAAATGGTGTCTTGTAATGAAAGTTCGAATTGAATGATGCAAAAGGCATTCCAATGGCAGTTGATACTTCTAAAATACCAAATGTACTTAAAGAAGCACATAGCAGTCTGATTGGAGGCCACTTTGAAATAATGAAGACTTTGGACACAGTGAAGACAGTGCTTCTAATGTAGCAATGCAATGGCTGGCATGCAAAAGTGGTGCAAATCTTGCAAAGCCTGTGTGGACTAGATAGGAATGGAGAAATGTAGCAAGGGCAGCTGCAATGTTATAATGTAAGAGCGCCTTTTGAATGCATCACCTTCGATATCCTGGGACTTCTGCCACAAACCGCTGATTGCAACAAATACATTGTCATTGATTACTTTACAAAGTGGCTTGAAGCATCTCCTATCAAGAGGCTGTCCCAATAACAGAGGTAAGGATACATCACTGGATTTCCAGGTTTGGAGTGCTTCTTCAGTTAAATTCCAATCAAGGAAGGAATTTATTTCACCTGTAATTAAAGAACTCTGCAAACTACTCGGCACAGGCAAAGCCCAAATGACTCCTAAAATACAGATATCTTAGGACAGTTCTTATACATTCCTAAACAGGCTGAATGACATCGTAGTTCAGATTCATAAATCATAAAGTCCTAAGCCTAAAATTGCCCATAAGTCCTTAGCCTAAAATTGTTCATTATGACAGGCTAGCCCCTTGTATGGTCATAGTACATACTCTTCATGGTATAAATAGCTTTACTAAGACCATGGTCCAAAGTGTATATAAATTTGTGAACTCAAGCATTTATTTATTGATTTAGTAACTGATTTGTTGCATTCTATTTATTGAAATTATTATTTTAGCATGGCACTAATTTCCCTTAGTTGTAAGCATGGCTTTCTATCCAGGGATTTGCAGTCTTTGGAAATGGGGCAATGTTACAGATTTTGTATAATGTTACATGAACGGCCTCAAGAAAGGAAAGCTAAAGTACGATTATACAGGCAAGTCTATTTAACATTGACATAAATGGCTATCTCGTTACATTGGGGAGACACTATCAAGCTGGGAAGGGTTTTGCTGAGCAATATTTATCGCCAAACTTGGTGACATTTTGGTCTGGTAACTGTTTAACTATGATTGGTACTGTAATTGATCTTTATATGTACCTGTAATCATATTCGACCCTTATACGTAACTTTAACCAAATATGCTTTCCAGTAATTTCTAGAAATGGAAGGTAGTTCCAGAACTGTACAGTGTTTCTTACGGAAAAACAAATTTTTTCAAGTTATCATTGTTTCACAGTGCATTCAATTCATTACAATTCTGTAGGCAAACAACAATATGCATGAAATATGGTAAACTGAAACTACTCAATGTCCAAAAGAAAGTAATTAATTTATTTTGTTTCTTTTTACAGAATTATCAGTAAGCTTAAACTGATCAATGTGCAAACAAAATTTTATTTGATTTCTTGTTAGTTAAGGAACTTAATAATGTTATTTAAAAGCATTAAAAAAATTACCCTAGGCTTTTGCGAAATCTAGTTGGCACTTGAACTTTCCCGATTTCCAACATGCAGCTCTTATTGACATGAAGTTTAGCCACCCCCATATATAGCAAGCATAGCTTGAAAATCAATGATTAACATTACATAGCAAAACTAGCATAAAAGTGAATAAATTAAATATTTATTTATTATTTCATTCATTCATTGTTCTAATGAATTACATGTGACACAGTTATGTTAAGCATTATGATGATAACTGACAGAGTCAGCATTAGATATTTTGCCACCTGATGCAATTTCTGTGAGTCATAAGTTCTGCTGCTTTCTGTGGGTCATAAGTTCAGATGCCTTGAGTAAATTCTAAAAATTTTGCAGTCCCTAAATTTTGCTGTTCGGTGCTTCTTAAAACTCTAAATACTTTGCCAACCCTAAAATCTGATACTGGATGCAGCCACACTGGCTGCAGTGATTTTGGCGCTGGCCCTAATAACAGATCATGTATTATACAGAACCCTGTTTCAACTTCAATGAACTGAATAATTAATGCACAAAATATTGATTATTTAGGCTAATTGAAAAATTCAACCTTTTAGTTTTTACATGAATAGGTTAATACACAGCAAAGGATAATTTTATTCTTAAAACCTAAAATACCACTCCATTTCGTATTTTGCCATCTAGTTTCATACTAGTCTTTAACACATATGTCATATAAAATTTTAAAACATAGTATCGAACATAATTAATGGCCTTCATACATAAAGTTAGTATTAAAGAATATAATTTTTCAATTAAAAAAAATGTAAAATTTACCCAGTGTCAGGAGAGAGTGTTATATTGATATTTGGACTCTTCATGTTAATTAGGACTTCAAGAAAATCTTTAGGAGAATACACAGGCCTAAACCGACTAAGATCTAAAACAAGAAAAGAATGACTTTTAAGGCACATCAGAAAGAATGCAAAATAAATATATATATATAATAGAATCTACAGTTTCCCAGTTAAATAAATATATTTTTTTACCCATATCTTCAGACCCCAATTCCGACCACTTCGCTTCGAACTCAATTTGCTCAGAAACGGGACGCTAAAATAACATATATCAAGTAAAATTAAAATGGAAATAACAATTCTTAAAAACTAAAATAATAGCTGAAACTTTCAGGTAAGCAAAAATACATTTATTCATGAAATCATTGCTAAATTCTCTGCTTAAGATTCCATTGTTTGTAATTTCTCTGAGTGATGCATGACACACGCTTTAACCCCTTACCCCTTTTCTTTTTTCTTACTTAAAAAAAAAAAAAAAAAAAAAAAAAAAAAAAAAAACATTAAGTTCTAATATACTTTATTATTCATGATAATTTATAAAAAATTAAATTACTTTGCCCATATTGTGCAATGTAACATTATAACATAGAAGAATGACGGAAGAGGAAGAACAGAAAATTTGTTTTCTATCATAGGAGAGAACAACATCAAAGTTTTTAAAAAAGAAAAAAAAAAAAAAAAAAAAAAAAAAAAAAAACAAAAAAAAAAAAAGAAAAGAAAAACAAAACAAAAGTAGAGAAGTATTACATTGTATTACACTGTATTACATTAAAAAAAGAAAAAAGAAAACTGCCTTGCTTGCTAGACTGAACTATAGTATTGCCAAAGATATGTCATTTTATTGGTGAACAAGAACACCATCTGAATTTTATTTTAGTGCCACAGCTGTTATTAGTCTTGATCTGCAATTTTTTTCCTATATCATTTTTCAAATAAAAAGATATTTCCACCAAATATTATTTCCATGTAACATTTTTAAAGAAATAATACAGCAAATATAAAAAAGAAAATGTATGGCATAGCTGCCACCACTGAAATTTTAGAAACCAGGAGAGACCAGAAGGTTTTCATGTACAGGAACATTATTTCAAAGGATATTCAAACTGATTTAAGTCTTTTAGTGCATAATTCAAGTTATTTAATTATTTGTTATTCATTTCTGATGTAAAATATATTAACACTTAATTGGATACTCTAAATTTTATGTCTTTCGGCTGACTTATTTTTTTAAACTTTGTACACTTTTATGTCGAGAAAAATCCTAAGCAGTGAAGACAAGCTTTTGTTTATAAAAGTATTTTTAAATGCAATGAAAATAATAATGAATACATATAGTATTTGTGTGAATAAACTTAGCAATGAACCATATACTAGAGTAAAAAAAAAATATTAAATACAAATATTAACTGATTACACACTGCTGGAATCTTCATATAAAACTTTACAAATCTCTTCAGTGGATTATATAACTCAGATGGAATGAAATTTATAAGGATACTTTAATAAGATCAACAATACATAATAAGAAAAATACATTTCAGATGAAATAAAGTTTAATATGAAACTTATTGTAAAAATTACTATATGGAATTTGCCCAATTTAAGTTTTATTAATTTAATACATTTCATTTATTAATGGGAAACATTATCCTTAGTAAAGGTTAAAAATTAAAAATGGGTAGATTCAATAATCTACTAGGAGACAAAATAAAAAAAGAGAAAGTCTCCCGTTCAAACCGGAAAGGTTGACAGTTATGATATGGTGACACAAATAAAAGGATACTGTCATCAAATGTTTTGTTTCTAAGAAAATAATACAGAGAATATAAAAAAAGTATGGCAACACAACACTCAATCAGGAATTCTGAAGAAATTTTTAAATATTTTGTGATTTTGTTGTTGAATTTTATGTGACATAAGGGTGAAGAAAGTGAGATTTAATAAATAAAGTTAAGCTAAAAAGTTAATCATAATTATAAAGTTGTGCAAGTCATATTATTAAGAAAACTAAACATTGATAGAATAAACTGAGAAAAGACTGAAAAAATAGAAAAATGTATGGCAACACTCAAGAATTCTAAACATTTAAGAATTTTACAGTTTTACAGCTGAATTTACGTGGAAGTTTATAGTTTTACTGCTGAATTTATGTGGCATTGGTGTGAAGAATACACTGCTCAGCAATTAATTTAGAAAGACCAAAATGTCACGTTTTATATTAAAAACGTTTAGAAAGACGAATGAGCCTGGATATTTTCGATATTTTTGACAAGATTTTTAATTCTTGCTTGAATAGAAAATTTATGGAACATAAATCCTTAGCAATATTGAATCTGCTTCTACACTTTGTTTTTATTGCTACAAATGCTGAAAACGACCATTTGCACAAATAAGTGTTTGAAAATGATATGTACAGCTATAGCTCTGTTATGCTGTGATAAACTTTGAGATATTTTACCCCAAATAATGACTTATCCATCTTCTGAAAGTCATATTTGGCTGCAGAATCATTTTCTAATTCGAAAGCTTGCTCTTTGTATCTATGCCAAATCTATGCCAATATGAAAAGGATCCGTCATAATCTATAAACATTATGATCACATGAGTTAAAAAGTAACATTTGAATTCATGAGGTGCTGCAAATGATTTGATATTTCTTTCTTAGTATCAGTATCCTTAAAAACATCTTTAAAGCCTGCTTCTTCAAGGATTCAAAACAATTTAGAAAAGTAGGAATAATTGCAGGCTAAAATTTTACATTCCCACAGTTGCAACTCATTACTATATATTGCAATGGTATCCCGATGATAAATTATGTTTGAGTCCCCACCTTGTAATTCCAAATTAATAAGTTCAATTGAATCAAAAATATCTAATAGATAAGCTAATACAACTTGAACACTTGGTTTTCATAATTCCACATACAATTCAGTTTGATTTTGAATTTCTAAAAACTGAAACTGAAGTTCAAATAATCTTGTTAACACATTTCTTTTTGACAGCCAATGTACTTCCACATGAAACAACAGTGCTTTATAATTTGTTCCCATATTTTCACAAAGAGCTGTAAAATGTCAAGTAGTTAATGTATTCTTTTAAACATGATTGACAATTTTGATGCATAATTTTAAGACATTGTTGAGTTTGGAAGTGTATTAACTGCCAAGGCTTGACAGTATATAACATAGTGAATAGTAGTAACAATGGGACATTTTTCTCTGACCATCTGCAAGAATTCTGAGTGAGATCCAAGCATTGACAGAGTGTGGCCTGTGATATGAATGTCAGTTTTGCCATGAAAGTTCATATTTGCAAAAGATTTTCAGAGACTGCTCTCATTAACTGAACTGCTTTTGAAGTAGTCATTAGCTCTGTAGAAAACAGCATCTCATCCTTAATTGTTTTGCTTTGCAATTACTGAACTAAAATTAATAGTTGACAACATTTTGCAACATCCATACTCTTGTCCAAATGTACTGCAAAAAAATTTGATTCTTTCATGGCCTACACTAACTGATTTTTTTTTGTCTTGTTATATTGTGATATTTTACAGTGCTGTCAGAAAGCAGTATTTTTGAAAGTTTTTGTTTATTTTCTAGTCCAAAAACAATATCAGTTGCCTTCAACATCCATAGTTTAACAAGTGTTTCTCCAATAATACCACATTTCTTGGTCTTTGTGATGAACAGTAATAACTTATACGAAGCTTTAGGTGCTTTTTCAGATGACTGAGCAAAGAATATATTATTATCCAATTTTAAACATTTAAAACTTGCCCATTTTACAGCAAAATATTCCTTCAGCTTGTCTTTTAATAATTTATGTTTTGTCGACAAATGTCACTTTAGATGAGAAGATCTCATGGCATCATTGCTGAATACTTTGTTACAAATAATACATTATGGCTGGTCCCCCCCTTTTTTGTGCATGGCAGCAAAAGCATATTTGACATTGCGTCACAGTATTTCTGCTTTTTTTCTAAACTCATGACAAAGCAAAGAAGAAAAAACTTAACAAGCCAACAGTAGTTTACTTTCATATTAAAAGTATACATATAACTATTGTACTGCCTGTGTGATCAATATTGACCGAGTTCAAGTTCAACTAAGACAAGTATAGTATGGTGGTGTGACGTGGGTGATGTGGTGTGTGCGGGCGGCAGAGTATCGCTCATTCCACCTGTGTCCCCATTAGATGACATCATGCCTCTGTTGCGAGTGAAGCCTTCAGTTTGAAGTTCAAGGCTCTATATCAATCCTTATAAATAAAAAGACAAGAAATGATACTTTAACACCTATACATATTCAAATAAACATTTTGATACCCATACATATTCAAATGTTAAATACTTCAACTGGCCACTTTGATATCCATACATATTGAAATGTTTGTGTGTGGATGCCACTCTTGGGATTGAAGTTGATATTAAGATAAAAACTAGCCCTACTATTCTTTAGTCACCAAAAAGACAGTAACAGTGGAAAGGAAATAAAAATTCAGCTTTTATAGATGAATTTGGAATAGCTTCTAGAAATGGTGAACATTAATATGAAGAGTTACAGGAGGTATTTTTGACTATGTTATAGCAAGTACCAGATAACCAACAAGTACCATAATATTTAAGGCACTGTATTCATGACCATCTTATGTCAAGCCCTGTAACACATTTAGACAGCGAACAAAACCATAAACAAGAATTTGCTGCAACATGCACAGTAAAACCTTCACTATTATAGGGATAAAATGTGATCATTATCACATATATACACAGCACAAGGAGTGATTCACAGAAAGAAAATTCCAAAATTCTGTAATCTAAGTTCATATATTCACAGTTAACTTACAACTGGCCTTACTGTATAGACGTCACTTAACATTAAAATTACAAAGCAATTTCATTCTTTTCGATTCACACTGTGCATCAAATCTCTCACTTATATGGCACCTAGAGTACATATACTGTGATGTTTAAAATAATCTTTTCATACATAAAAACAATGCATTTTTCCATCAAATATTTTCAAGATTGTTGCCAGACAGTGCGATTTAACACCAACAGTGGATAGTTGAGATATCACAATACACTTGCAAATCTTTGCTTAAGCCAGTCTAGTTTTTTTTTTTTTTTTTTTTTTTTTTTTTTTTTTTAAGAAGGTTATAAAGTAACTTTTTTCTGTTTTTCTCTTACATAAAAAACTTATATATATATATAATTTTTTTTTAATGTAAGAGAAATATATATATATATATTCGGTGCCAGTGCAGTAGCGAGCATAATTGGCATCCAGGGCAAAATACCTTTTTGGTGCCTTCCCCCCCAAAGAAAACACAGTGATATGATGAAAATCTTGTTCGGAGACCATTTGGAACCCCTCTGTGAGCAGAGCTCGGGGCATTCATACACACCTTCCCCCCTCACTACGCCACTGTTTCGTGCATGCTTTCTACAGAACAGCAAGCAATGCATTATATTCAAAATTACAGAATTGGTTAGACTGAGACATTTACTCAAAACACTGAAAGACTCTGTTGTTTTCCAAAATAGCACAGTCACAAACATTGAGACCACTCACATTCATATTTAAGAGAATTTATATGGTACCAGGTTCACAAAAATGATGATTATTTTGTCATGATTTCAGATACCCATTAGGGAATTTTGGCTGCAGAATTAATATCACAAGTTAATAAATTTGTTTGAAAATCCTAAAGCTTTTCCTTTTGTCAAATAGCAAACACTGAGAAGTGGTCTTCTCGAATACATATTAAAGGTCTTACTGTTTTATGCAATGCAACACTCTCTAAGTTGCATGTATGATAAATATTTGATAGTCTAATGTAACACATAACAGTCAAAAAGTTTTGCTAAAGATTTTTATAACATCAAAATAGCATCACTAATGGTTAAATTTATTCAGCAGATATACATTAAATACTTCTCCTATTTTATTTCTACACACTACTTATTTGTCGGCTATTTTAGAGGGTAGGACAGGCATCGGCAACCTATGGCACACATAGAATTCTCGGCACTCTACAAAGCTGCCAGGCAAAAATAAATCACCCTGTCTCTCCTCTCTCTGCCACCAGCAAAGTTTAGTTGCAAAATTTCTTCACAGCATTTAATTTCTGGAATAAAAACTGTTGTTAAAATAGTTAATTTCATAGTGTCTCGTTGTTCATTGGTATACAGGCAATTTAAATCTCATTTAGAAATGGAAAGTGAATATGTGGATCTCCCCTTATAAAAACTCTAAATCTGTGCTGTTTTCCTCTATTCTTTAACTCCACATGCATCGGTGCGGGAATTGGATTGTTTCAAATATTTCCTACTCTGCAGCATCCTGAATCATATTGGTAGAGTGGTCTGGTACATCACAGCAACAAGGTTGCTGACCTCTGGGATAGAACATTCACTCAGACTTCTGCACCAGTCCAGATAAATACACAACGATTAAGCAAAAAATTACAAATAGAATTTTGGCAGAGAAATAAAGGATTAGTTAGATGTTAGATTTTAAACTTTCCCTCCTATGTTAACTATATGGGAAAAAATTTCCAAAATATTACATCTCGTATCAATCACACTTAATAGATGTTTGACATGCTAAAGCGATATTGCACACAGAAACATACTAACTGGGAAAGAACAAAACCAACAGAAGTTATTTATCTTCGCATTGATTATTTGTTACATATGCAGTTTTCCATCAACTGTTTTTGACAAACAGAAATTGTCACCAAACAGTGGAATTTAATGCTAATGAATAAGAATAATATGACCACTTTGGGATGCACACTCAAAATAGTGAAATGATTCTGGAATTCAGCAAAACAACACAATAAAAAAAATCACAAAACCTTATGACAACCACTTTGATTTCATATTTAAGCAAATTTATTTTTTCTGTCTGCATGAAAAAGATCATTATTTTGTTGCTATTTTAAAAACTTGTGGGGGGTTTTTGAGCATCAGAATGATTGGCACACATTTTACTGAATTTGAATTGTCAGACAATCTCACAGCTTGAGCTCATACAGACTTAATTTTATATGCATCTGCAACTTGCATCTGTTGGTTACTTAAACAACTTACAACATATTGGTTACTTACAACATAAAAAGAGTGAACTGTTCCTTCAAACTTCTACTGGAATGTTTGGCTTCTCACCTTCATGGTCAATGGGAAATTATACGAGTACCAAAATGAATATTTCATTAAATAAATAATCAATCAAATTTATACTTTCATGAAATGAACAAAAGTGTAACTGGTATTTCCACATTATTATTTTCCCATGCAGAACTGCTGCCAAGCAGTAAAATTAGTGTCAATTATGGATAAACAAGAATTCACATTCATAACATCTGCATTTTTATTTGATGTTATGATCAATGATATATGTTGTTTTCGTGAAAAAAGGATATAAAATTAACTGTTATTGCTTTTTTACCTGCATTAAAAAAATGAGCTCGAGGGCTATATAATCACATTTATGACTTTGTAGAGATATTAGGTACTTTTGGAAAGCAGGCAAGATAAAAAATGAACAACTGCCTTCGCCGGGAATCGAACACCGCGGACCTCTGGAATACCGGCCCAGTGTGCAGACTACCACACCATGAAGGCTCACCAAGAAGATGGGAGAAATACCATATAACTTCACTTTGGTTAATTTACAGCTCATCAAAAAAATTAATATCTGTTGAAGAGAGAAAGCTGGACATGGCACACAAAATGATAATAGACTGGAACCATCTCCTGCAGAATGTTTATATTCATCGTGTTCTAAACAGAGTTTATGAGGCCTAATGAAATGACAATGACCTTTACATAAAGCAAAAAATGAAAGCACTTCTGAAGTAGTTGTTATTTTTTATTTATTTATTTATTTATTTATTTTGGATTATGCAGAGATACTGATGAACGTTTTGTTGTAAAAGTTGCGGATAGAAGTGTGGCTTCGAATTTTGATAAACATTTGCCACAAGTTTGGCAGGACCTATGCCAACTTTCCCGATGGATTGGATGATGTGTAATTTCTGGGAAATTCAATTCTCATTTTGTTTATCATAAAGTAAATAGTTCTGTGAGATGCATCAGAAGATGATTGAAGACATTCATTGTAAAAATGAACAGATATACATAAAATTTAGTTCAACAGCAGATTCATTGAAACTCTGTCCAGCTTAACCTGTACCTGTATGTAAGCCAGCTCTCTTACTCGCTCACAGCCACTCCACCTCCCACCTTTAGTAAATAATCTTGCAGAGAAAATGTCTCCTAGCAGGTAAGACAGATAATATTAAGAGGACTGAATCAGTCTATGTAAGCCTTTTTCAACATTTCAATTTTAAATTTTGATGATTTATTTTTTGTTCTACTTAAGACAAGTGCAATTTTTTTCTAATTAAATAAAAATTTCTTATTCGTTATGACACATTCTTTTCACTATTTTGCTAGATAGAGGATTACATCTTAGCTATGTGTTCAAAGGATTGATGCACGCATATTAATGCGTTATAGTGCACATGGTATGCACAAAGTTATAGTGCTACTAACCCACGACAGAAATTATAAAGTACTCCAACTTTTTGCTTGTAACATTAACTGCTATTCAACAATATTCTAAAAATAATTTCCCAGGTTGCTGGGAATACTTTACAGAAGAACATACTGGATGTTGCATGAGTCGGGAAACAGTAGTACCTAATTCCGTTACCAGCACACATTGTAAAAAAGAATCAAACATTAATCATATATATAACTGCTGACGAAACTCTTGATCTAAATTCTTTTTTAATTAATTGAATTTTATTACCACTGATTTGATATTCTTTCTTAAGTTACATTTCAGTAGTTATCTTCATGTCTAATGCTCATATTGCTGTATCACCTATTTTATACAACTTCCTGAAATAAATACTTGTGCGTACTGGAATTGGTGTTGATAATATAGAGATACCAGGAAGGGTTAGTAACTGGAAACACATATTACAACTGCACTTCCTTTTTAGTTTTTGTAAAATTTTTAGATAACTTTTTTTAATGCAGGTTATTTAATTCTTAATAATTAAGTGAAAAAAAAATCTCCTGATATTAGCTAGAAAAGGAAACACGTCACTACACATACATTGCAAAAATAATGAACCACACATGTAAATAATCTCAGTTTGTAAACAGAGGAATGCTACATCAATAATGCATTAATCTATGAAAGAAATTAAATGTAAGCAATAATTTACATGAAGAAAGGATAAATATAAAAAAACGGGTATTCTTTTCAAATGAAAAATAATAAAAAGTTAGACTAACAAATTTATAAATGAATATTTTTATGAAATATATCACACAAATTCTAAAATAACAACATTTTAAAAATTTATCACAAAACATATCATACCTTTCGAGAAAATACCATGCTCAGTTCATTAGACATATTATTCAAACTTTTGGTTATTCGATGCTCCCAATTGATCTGCAAAAGAAATAGCTCTTTATATATATATATATATATATATATATACCAAGTGGACATAATTAAACTGACAGTGCTCACAGTGTTCTGTAGCGCAATCTATTTGCGAGAATGACGCCACATTTTGTAGGAAGATTAAACAAGACGGGGATGAAGGATTTCTCGAAAAAACAAATTAGTTCCAAAAGTCACAGCTAGGAGAATATTTGGCGCTGTGTAATAGACTCTTCAATCATTCAATTCGTGTTTCGTCATTCATGCAGGCAAGGGTACATACATCAAAAGAGGAATGCATTATTATACATTACAAAGCTTCAAAATTACATATTTTAAAGGATTTCTAATAAAATTTTATCCTTGAATCATCAGAAAACAACAAAAAATACATATTCGAAGATGGTAACCTGAAGTCAAATATGCTTTCTACAATAAACATAATTTGCCCAGAAAGTACATTGACAAAACTACATAAAAATTTTATTTGACTTAGGTATATAATATTTCAATATTTAGTCAAATAAACCTTGTAATCACCTCACTTATTTATTCAATAAAATATTTCTGAGGGTCTATTCCAAAATTTGAACTCTGAAACAGACCCTTCTCTACCATTAATATACTTTTGCCAACATAGTTTTTCTGTTGTTGGAAGTGGTACTGTAGGTCTTGGTTTCAATGGGTCCTTCAATAGTTTCATCATATTGATGATGTTTTTTTACATTTCCCAAATACTGCACCTTCCCCACAATTTCGATTAAAAAAAAATACATAAGAATCAGGTCAGGGGAATAGAGAGAATCTTCAAATCTTGTGACTGAATTATGGGTTAGAAATTTAACAAATAATTTATGCCACTATCATGAGGCATTGTCACGAAATAAAACACAGTTACTTCCTTCCAATAAGCAGTCACATACACTGTACGTGATTTTTTAGACATCTCAATTGGAAGCTGAACTCATAGTGCACAATGTTAAAAAAGCTAAATTTACAGACTGCCCTTTTAGAATGGATTCAAGGTCATAATTTCACAAATGTTGGAAAAAATAATGTCCATTACTTTAATTTTGTACCTATGTCTTCAAAATATTTTTGTTTGAACACTCTTTCAGAAGACAATACATCACAATTGGATGCTTATTTCCATTTCATTCATTTCAGTATAAAACATATCTTGATGCAAATTAGCATTAAATTTTTTTTTTCATCTATTTTTATTTTTAGTTATTTCATAATCATATGTCCCCCCCCCCCCAAAAAAAAAAAAAGATAAGAGAGATTGCATGTTCTGCAAGTTTCACAGAAGCAGTCAAAGCCATAATCTTTTATAATCTACTTTCCAAGTTGTATGTGGAAGAATTCACTATTTTTCATTTTGAATGAACAGAAAAGTTATTAAAAGCATGAAATCATAGAGATAATTAATAGTACACCTTATTAATAAAAATGCAAAAGTTAATGAATCAAATTCATACTCAAAATAACTTTGTGCAGTTTACTAGTAAACAAATTAACAGCTGCAGTGTAAAAATTAGCACAAATATGTAAAAAACTTAAAATTTTCACTGACTTAATTTTTCATTAGAGCTCAGTGGAACTTTACTGTAGTGCACTTAAGGAAAGTTGCCATTTCAATAAATATAGTGCAAGTTGTATGATCAATCAGGTAGGGCTTTAGCATTTTTGGTACCTAATAATCCAAACAAAATACTTTTATTTAGTTTAGGAGATTCCATTGTGGTTAGTATTGACACCTTGGGGTATCAATACTAACCACAATGGAAACTGCTATGATGACACCTATGATGGTTAAAGCCTAAACAATTAAAATAAAAAATAAAAAAAAGAATCATGCTAGAGAATTTTGAAACTAAAGATTCTACACAAGCGGAGTATCGCACCACAAATACTTCCATGCTATCTCGCAGAAGCATGGTGGAGATTCGTTAATAAAAATGATGACTATTTTTTGGCCATACCACATGACATTCGTACTGTATTTGGCTGAAAAACTCATAAATATTGTATTAAGCACTGCTCCTGCTTTTGTTATTCAAAACTGGGAGCAATTTCAATTTAATGGAATAAAAAATTTAATGGGTTGTTAGATTATATAATGGAATCATTTTCATTTTTGTGTTCTTAATTATTAGTATTTATTTTCATATTTAAAAATAGCATTTTAGTGGCATCATCTAAGAAATAAGTAGCCAATTAAAGTGGTAGATTACAAACAAGAGTTCTTTAAATGCATTCTAAATCTAAAACATTTCTGATAAAATATCTTTATGGATCATCATAGTGAAACATCCTTACAATAGCCACCACAAGACAATTTTAGTTGTCAGTGAAATCCTTTTTAAAATGTAATACTCAAAGTAAAAATTCATTTAAGCTCTAAACCAGTGGTCATCAAGCCTTAGAACTTCACGAACCACTACATATATAATTTTATATTTGGCGGGCCACTAAAATGAATTACAAAAAAGATAAATACATTTATACAGTAATAATCAGCAAACTACACATATTTCGTTCACACTGAAAAATTACATGAAAAGTACAAAAAATCTTACCTTCTTGTACAGAAAGCTTCATATTTCCATATCGCTGAAAAGGAACTTCATTAAAAGCAAGAACAAATCGGCAAACACAAAGAAATATCAATAAACTGATAGTGTTATGCCGCCAATTTTTAATTATTGTAAACATAATAATCATTGCTTACTCAGCAATGTGCCATTGATCAATGGTTAGAGAAAAAAAAAGAAACTTCCAGTGATGCAATTATATAAGCAACAATGCGGATGAACCAACTGAATTCTTGTTTATAATTCTATCAAGTTCCATTCATAAAAATCCATCAAGTTGCCTACTGACACAGAGAAAAACTGTGTTATTAACGACTACAAGAGCATGTGTTTGTAATTGAAAAGAAAAGAGAATTCCAGTTCGCGCTAATATTTATAACAGCAGCATATCCATGGATGCCAACTCTCATTTTCATATGTCGCTAGATACACCTACAAAAGTTGCTAAATTCAGAAGGAATTTCGTTAAAAGTAGTAGCTAAATTAAAAAAAAAAGTATAATCCATATTTCATAATAGGTTTTGTTACCTGTCATTTTTTAAACTGAATCTTCATAAAAATATAAATAATGTCCCAATTTTTCTGCAGACCAGCAAAAAGTTATTATGGACCACTGGTAGGTGACCACTGCTCTAAGAAACACTACAGTACAAAGTCCGAAATCCAGACGTCCATTATCCGGAATGATCTAAAATCTGGACCTCAAAACCACCAACAACGTTTTCTCGAAGGCGCATTTGCATTTAACTTCACCCTTCAGCGCATAATAAAGCATCTGGAGAATCCCAATTCATAATTTCACTTCGACATTAAATTAAATAAAATACTTCGCTATTGAAGAAAGAATCATTTTAGCATAAATTTCCACGATCAGTAATTTGGCTCCGTTGCTGAGTATCTGCTTAGCATATATCTCAAACCAAAACATTCCACATAGATACATTGTTGATCTGATGCTAACCTGGCGAATCATTATTTAATATACTTTCCTTTCATCACTGCATGTATAGCAAAATATGCCAAATTGAGTAATGACTCATGTAGCGAAGCCTAAACAATTTTTTATGTTAGTAATTGAATAATAAGGAAGTGTGGTAACCTTTTATGTTGGCATTACACTTGGCAATGATTACAGATTTAAGCTAAATGCACTAAAAATGTTGATGGGGGAAAATTTACCAAAAATTTCTTTCCATATGCTAAAAATACATTTTATTGATTATGCTTATAGACCCAAAGATTACATTTAGGGCTATTTGAATTAAGAATAACTGATTTGTTATTCACATAAACCTAGAACCAGGCCAGAACTCATATGGCCGCATCGAGTAGCAGAATTTAGGACCCACAGAGACTGCATCAGGCGGTGGTAGGAATTTATTTATTCAGAACTCTGATAAGCCTTACTCATATTCAAGAAATAAACATAAATATAATAAATAACTAATACAATTCAGGCTTAATTGTCTCAGTGTGCGATAGAAGCAAGATAAAATTTAACGGAACAACTTGTTGCTAGTCGCCAAGCTTATATTGCATTAACAATGTAACTGAACAAGAGGTAATGTCTGTCTACAGAATTAAAGAGAAAGTATTAGCACAAAAAAAAAAAAAAAAAAAAAAAAAAAAAGCAACTTACATTGAAAGAAATGTTTAATAAGGTAAGCAAACGTTAAGCTTTTTTTTTTTTTTTTTTTTTTTTTTTTTTTGTAAATTTTGATGCCGTTTAGATCATAAATACTTCCTTATTTTCATAAATTACGATTTCATATTTTTAATTTTATAATTTCTACATGCCATCTTACTAGATTTAAAAACTGATGATCTAATATCCGGAAATATCCCAAATCCGGAATCGCCAAAGTTCCAACGAGTCCGGATTTCAGACTGTAATTATTTTCAGAGATGATTACCTACAAGAGATCATTATAACAGACTGCAATATACATTAATTCACAGATATTCACTGCTTGTAACTAGCTTAGCCTGAGTTAGCTTTATAACTAGCTTAGCCTGAGTAAAGATCTCCTATATTTTGGAATAATATAACAGATTTGGTTTGTTTCCTAATAACTGTAAGTCTCACAGATTCCTTCACGAGTCTTCCTTTGACACGGGAGATGGCAAATACATGAAAGAGTTCTATCTTTATGCAGCTAATTAGACCCCTTCCCAAAGCTAATCATTCATTCTGCCTATACATTGGAAGAAAAACATATGGGGATATATTAGCTACTTTCACAATAACTAGAACCACTGTTTCTACAGTGTTCCATGCTGGCTGGACCACACTATATACACTTGTGATACATGCTAAGCGATACACACCCGTGATACATGCTAAGTTATACATACTCGTGATATATATGCTATATTAGAGAATTTGCACATTATATTGAATTTTTTAAGAACTAACAGAGAGATTTGGTATGAATGTATTTGTATTCATTTACATTTATAACAGAAAAAGAGACGTAACATTCAAAAGTCATTTTATGTATGCATGATTATCATAAAGCTCACAGTGTCGGGATGTTCAAAATCCCCAGTGTGATATTGAACTGAAAATGACTCTAATATGAGGTATGGTCCTTTCTCAAAGCCAGGCAGATCATGCAGTGTGACAACATGCTGGATAAGAAGCAGATGAGAAGTCCCTAGGGCAGTTGATTCCACTCCAGCCTCAAAGCAGTTTTCAACTCTGGAATGGTTCTTGGAGGGGGATGGTGAGATGAAATTGCCTACCCAGCATTCCAGACATTCTCTAAAGGATTAAGATCAAGAGACCTCACTGACCAACCCATGCGGTGAATATCCCCCTTTCCAGGCAATTGTCGACTAGCTGAGACCATGCGGACAAGCATCGTCATCCATTAACAAGAACCCAGGACCAGTTGTGCCTCTGAAAAATTGAAAATAGAGCTGTAAGATCTCCTCTCTGTACCTCATAGCAGTCAAGAAGCTATTTTCAAACACATGCAGGGATGTGCGGCCGTCCAACATAATGCCTGCCCAAACAATTATACATTCCTCACCGTAATGACCATTTTTCATAAAGAGGGTGAGATGGTATCCTCTTCCAGGCTCTCTCCAGATACTGGCATGCTAAGAATCAATCATCCAGCCTGAATCTCGACTAATCTGTTAAAAAAATGGTGCTCAACTGAAGTTTGGTCCAAGGCACATGTTTTCTGCAACAAGCTAAATGCATTATCTTGTATGCTGCAATGAATGGGATACAAACAGCAGGTCTGGCATACAGCCCTATCTTATAAAGCCTTCGGGCAACTGTAGATCATGACACTCTGGTTACAGTGGCAGCATACAACTCATGTGACAGCTGATTGTGTAGCAGCACTGAAACCACAAAATTATGATTCTCATTCCCCGCTCTGGATCTTGATGGACTTTGTCCAGGTCTTCTCGATATGCATTCAGTGCAGTTTCAAAAAATTGCAGATGACAATGAGTGCAAAACTGAGCTTTGAAGCTACATGCACTTGTGATTTAACCTACTTCCAATTTACCGAAAATTCTCCATCTCATTCTGTCATCCATATGTTCATTGCTACTCATTTTACCTGATACCCTATAAAATTTACTCTTGTGAGAAACATGGTAAATATCATGAAGGAGTATGAGTAAACAAAGAAAACAAACTGGGCGAAAACTCCTCATGCACTTATATTCCCTCCACAATACCAGTTCTGCAAACACACATATGTATGCTTACTTATTTTACTCTAAATATATGCCTAATACCTCAGCGGCATAATTAATACCTTTGGTTCAATACTTTTTGTAAAAATAGATATAATTAGTACCTTTGGTTCAATACTTTTAAATTTATATACAGGCGTATTAAATTATCAAAGTCATTCTCTGGGATTTTTGCTCCTTTATAAAAGTCACGTATTTGGACTAACTCATTTATAGGCTATTTGATGGCCTGGGTCTGAACCTTCTCTCTGTATGATCTATAGGGCTAAGAGAATGGAATACATAAGACATATAATTGATACTTATTAGAATAATCCTTCATAAAGAAAATTCCAAACATTATTTTCATTCAGCAGTATAAATTTAAATTTGCTTCTAATGAAATAAGCATGGTATCTTTTTAAACACATATATTTTATTATGTGTTCATATCTTTATATTAGTTCAGAGCTGGTAATAATTCAACACTTAAAAAGATTTTTAATTCTATGTTTCATGTGAAGAAGTATACCTGAGCTTTCTGTATATATTCCAAAGGTTCCTTTCGTTGTTGTATGTTACTTCTTAAATTTGGGTTCTTGACAATGTACTGATACACTTGATTTCGAAGCTTTTGCTTGTATCCTTAAAAAATTCTTTTATTATTTTCAATGCCAGTATATAAGATGTTTTACAACACATTTTATACATTATTTTAAGTCTTAAAATATCAATAAAATTAACTATTTTTATAATGACAAAACAGAAATGTTGCCTAAAAATAAGATTTTAATATTTCAAATCAGATTAAACAAAAAAATTAAGAAATGTTAACACAAAGTTGTAAGATTCTCACTAGTGTAAATCTCAGTTACTGTAGAAAGCGACAAATCTTAAGAACTAATTAGCGAATAATCGCTTAAGTTCGTGGGACAAGAAACAACAAGATGGAAGGGTAACTAACCCTTTATTATTTCAATAAGATTTAACAAAACTCCGTCTTGGAGTGTACAATCAAAGCCGACACTTGGGCTTGAACTTAAGAAACTAAAAATTAAACTAAAACTAAGATTAACTAAAGAAATATAGCTGAAGCTATCAAGATTCTGGACTAGTTAGCCCCTTAACTCTATTTAACTACGAAGCTTAATAAGGGCCTGAGTACGGCCGAGCGTAATAACAGCTTTGAGAGAGAGAATGGCCAAAAGGCAGACACGCGTAAATCAGAAACTCTGATTCTTTCTCGCTAAGACCAAAAAACTTTGCAGTTAAATACCACTCCCTCATTATGTATTCAGACGTGATTCTAAAACTACGTTCTGGCCGGAAGTAGTAAGTTGAAGTTAAGAATTTGACAGGAAAGGAACTTAAAATTTAACTGTTAATTAAATTAACATAATCCTTACAAAGTATAAAACAAAAGCAAATGGATATGATAAATACACAAATTTTGCTTTACATTGATTATAAAAGCAAAATCTGTATATGGTTACCATACTTAGTTACACCACATATATGGTTACCAGCTTCATTTGCACAGCAGTAATAAACTAAAACTAAGATTAATAATAAAATTAAATTAAGATTAATAAATATTAAAATTAAGATTAATAAGAAAAATAATAATAAATTTACCAGATTCATTTATTAGTATACGTATGTGATCTTCTAGAGTGTCACTGGAAACCTCAGGATCTGTTACTAATTGCTAGAAAAAAAAGTATGTTCATATGTTTTATTGTTAATATTAAAAGTAAAATCACTTAACATTAAAAAAAATTATATTTAAGTGCCCAACAAGATGTTCTTATTCAATCCATGAATATTGATTTTAAGGGCTTAAATCACTACTTAGAGTCATAATAAAGATAATTTTTTTTGTACTTTGTTTATTACTCTAAAAAGAATTCTAATTTTTCTTCCACTTTTATGAACAATAATCTTATACTTGTCATGTTTCATCTTTTCATTTTTTATTATGATTTCTGTACGTCTACTGCTTTATCTAGATGAATTTGCTTTTTACTTCTATGAATTTAAACTTGCTTCTCTTAATATTTTATTTACTTAACTGTATAACTCAAATTGTACAGATCAACATATTAAATAATACCTAGATGCACATCAAATGCATTTATTTTTCTGATTGATTTATTTCTTATTATAACATTATTCTTATAACTACATTGTTCTATCTTATTACTATAACCTTAAATACCCATATTCTTCTTATTATTATAACTACACTGATTTATTTCTAATTATAATAATAAACAATACTAAATGCATTAAAAATATAAATAGTTTATAATGCTATATTCAATGTAATATATGGCATATTGAATTACAACTACAAGTCTAGAAATCATATTTAATTTCATGTTTAAATTTTATAGATGATCTTCTAAATATTTCATGGAAATATTTGGCCTTTATCTTCTGGAAAGGCCTTCACGAGAACATGAATGGTGTTAATGCAGTTCTGTCTAAAGAAAGGGGGATTTGTTTCCAAATGTTGTAAATATTCATGAAAACCAAGACTGACTACAGTAAACGATAAATTGGCAATTCACTCATTATCTAAACAACATATGTTATATATGGAATTTAATATAAAGTTACATTTATTATAGTATTTAATAAAATTCTGTGACAATTTATTTAAGAAAATAACATAATTAAAGAGAACTTATTTAATATATACATTAATTATCATATTTAATGCAATTATATAAGCAATTTATTTAAAATAATATTTATAAACATAGCCAAAATTATATTTATTATTAAATACATAAAATTCTATTCAATATTTTTAGCCCAAAAGGGACATTAGTCTTGAATGGGACATTTGTTTCAAAACAGCAATTTACGCTGAATCACTATAAATGGCGTATGACTTTTCAAAGTGTTACCGATAAATATTATCACCCTGTATAATATTTAAAGAAGTTAAATAGAGAAGGATCTACATGAATGTATGCATGTTTCTTGCAGTGTGAAAAAACAACTATCACATTCTGAATAACATAGTCCTCCACCCAAACATGGCACCTGTAAATCTGAATTTTGAATTTCAGATCTGTTTTATTATTCATTTCATATTTTGGAAAATTTTAACAAATTTTTTATCAACAAACTCAATGATTTCAAAAAGAGCAGTGGCAACACTGTACGGAAAGAAACTTTTTCATCTCAAGCATGCGAGATTGTCTATCGGAAATTCTAAAGATATGCTGTTTTTATACATTTTGTGGTTCTGCTGTTGAATTGAATTTTATGTGGCATAAGCGCCAAGAATGTGATTTTTAATAAATAAAGTAAACACAAAAAACATTAACAGTAAAAAGACAAAAAAAAGTTTCCTACAGCCATCTTAGAAAGAAAACTGAAAATTGATATCATGAACTGAGAAAAGACTGAAAAAAACAGAAAACATGTATACCAACACTTAATGCTATATCAGGAATTCTAAAAGTATACTGCTATGCTGATTTTAATTTTTTTTTTTTAATTTTGCTGTTGAATTGTATATGGTGTAAATGCAAAAATAATGATGCTTAAAAGACAAAAAAAAGTGGGTTAATAAGAGTGAGTGTCGCAGCACAGCTGTCGACTTTGAGCTCAGGGAGATTAAAAAAAAAAAAAAAAAAAAAAAAAAAAACTTTAACAAACCCTTTTGTGCAACTGTTAAAATCTTAAACCTTTCTGATTTTTTTATTTAATTTAATATAATTTTGGTAACAATTTGCTAAAAAAAAAATACAATACTAGAAAATTTTTTTTTTTTTTCTGGTTCTTTCTGGTGGCACAATTCAGCAAGCACCGCTAATAATGCCTCAGACATCCATTACAGCATCTTTTTCCATTGATGAAGATTGAAAAAAGTAAGCATAATAAGCATTTTACAATGAAAAACTGTCATACTGATTCAATTCTATAATGAAAAACAGTTAGATCATTAACTGTTTGTTTCTTTCATATGCACAGATCACCAACTGCTTCTCACATGCATAAATCAGTAACCATTTGTTCTTGCAAACAAAGAACTATGCAAAATTCACTTTCTTACTAAGGCCATTACAGAAGACAAGTACCAAATATTTTAACATGGCAATGCAATATTCAGTAGAATCCCATAAGCTCGACCGAATATGGATTTGGAGGATGTCGAGTTACCAAAAATAAGTTTTGGGGAAGAGGGGAGCGGTTATCCACAGCTCCTAACATTTCGTCCAACTTTTAAATCCATGGCAATTTTGTTAATATGGTAGAAAATCCAGGATACTGAATCATTGTGATGTCACTGATTGTAGATTTAAGAAATTTCTCGATTTTAGAACATGAGTTTAAACCTAAGAAGATGACATGTAGATACGCCAATATTGGGACTTATTGTTTAAGTCAAACATAAAAATGCTAAATCCAAAGCACCAGAGCAGTTACAATGTGCGTGGCTGCAACTAGGTATCAGAATTTATGGACAAACAAAATTTTCAAATTTAGAGGAGCACCAAGCAGCAAAACGTAGGAATGGCTGAATTTTTAGAATTTAGACAGAGAAGCATCGTGCAGAAGAATTTAGGGAGGTATCTGACAGCAGAAATTTATGACTTGCAGAGGTTATACCAGTATTGTTAAAATGCATAAGCGCTGGCCCTGACCCCCTCTAGGACCCACAATATGATCCAGGCCAACATCAATACAATATGAATCAATGTATTATTCTGGGCCCTCCTGTGACTTGCTAGTCAGCAAATTTTTAAAAGTCAGGAATTTCAGTTAGTTGTGAAGAAAATCACATTTACAGCACACTACCTATTTTTTTTTTTTTTTTTTTTTTAACTTTGGAAAGGGGTATTGCTTTATTAATAATAATTATTATTATTATTTTGGCTGGTGGTCTGATGATCTGGGTGTCAGATCATTCCAAAACTTCCTTCTTTGTTTACTCGCTTAAGGCACCAAATTCATTTACATAGTTGTATTAATTCGCTTCCATCTCTTTCAACATTTTCATTTGCACTCACAATACAGCATCTATAAGCCTAGATATAGAATGGAGATTTGGTATGGAAGAGATGGAGACTGATCCTCTAGCAAGGGTGAAAGGGATGCATGGTGCAAAAAAGGTTGAGAACCACTGATCTAGCTATTAATGAAACATCAAATTATTTTTTAAATAATGTTCTACTTGACCAGCAGAAATCATTTAGCAGTTTAAAAAAAAGTTACATTTCAGTTATACAGAATGTCGAGTAATCAGCATCAAGTTTGTGGGACTCTAATATTTATACTTACAAATATGTAAGACAATCATTCACGTAGTTTAATAGCAGTATATAACAAAACCAAATACAGTCAAAAGTCGTTAATCCGGATTCGTCGGAACTTCGACTCTGGATTATAAATCATCAGTTTAAATCTGGTAAGATGGCATGCAGAAATTATAAAATTAAAAATATGAAACCGTAATTTATGAAATAAAGAACAATTATGACCTAAAGGGTATCAAAATTTACAAAAAAAAAAAAAAAAAAAAAAAAAAGCTTAATATTTATTTGTTTACTTTATTAAACATTTCTTTCAATGCAAGTTGTTTAAGTTGCTTTGTTTTATGTGCTAATACTTTCTCTTTAATTCTATATAAACAGACGTAATTTTTTGTTCAGTTACAAAGTTCCGCTGTTCAAGTCCTGTAATTGCTGTGCCGAGAATACTGACTAACTTGGCAATCGAAATTTTTTCGTTTTCACTAACCTCTCTGTCACTTTCTTCATGCCTTTATCCATTTTTTGCAGCAATTCCACTTTTTGTTTGATGGACATCAAAACATACTTTCGCTTTGTAGATCCTTTGGCAGCTCCAGCATCGGAAATTCTATTTGACATAATCGAAAGTTAAAGCTTACTTTTATAAAATTGCTCTAACGATTTTATAAAAGTAAGCTTGAACTTCGGCAAAAATAAATAAGCCGGATCCAATTCGAAGATTAAGGAACAATGCAATCTGCAACATTAACTGAAATAGATCATTTTAGCTTATACCATCCGTTATACATTAAATGTGCATGCGTAAATGTATTATGCGCATGCGCACACGCATATGCGCAGGCGTAAAAGTCTTGCACGCATGCATAAACGTCAACTCGACGCATGCGCAGAAAGTTTGTAGCTTTAAGGTCCGGATTATGGGTGTCCGAATTAACGATTTTTTACTGTATTAAAAATACCTACCCCCCAAAAATAGCGTGACTTTCTTAATTTATACACTTTACAGCATAAAAAAAGTTATTTCATTTGCAGACAAAATCCACTTTAAATGCTTACGATAAATACACTTCATTAAATTATAATTATTCTGTTATTACAATAGATATACAACATGAAATTAGTAGCTATGAACATAAAAGTTTAGCTGTGTACACAGTAAAACACTTTTGGAAATGAAATACATATATTTTAGGAATTTTTATTAATTTCTAGCTTTAGAAATAAAATTATTAATGAGTACAATAAGAATGATAAAATATATCTAACTTACATGCAATTTCATCATAAGTTTGCGATACACTTCAGTCTTTTCAATTTCAGCAGCAATATAATTTATTGACGATGAGGGCCAACCCATAGTATTTGCCATAGTAATACTATGATGTCCTTTAAAAAAATCAGTTAATTAAACTTTAACTACAGCATATTTGTACATGATACTGTCAGTACATAAAAACAACTGGTACATCAAAAACAAATTTTATCAGAGAATGTAAAAAAAGTTTATTTAAATAAGATGAACCTGAAAATCAAAGTATATGCAATAACACTTTATTACTAACTAATAATGATTGTTTAGTGTTATTAATAAAGTGATTACAAACACACAATTAATGCCAGTTCTTGATATTTTATTCCTCTGCTTTAAATGTCTATATACGGTCTGAAATCCGGACTCGTCGGGACTTCGGCAATACCGGATTTGGGATTTTTCCGGATAATAGATCATCAGTTTAAATCTAGTATGATGGCATGTAGAAATTATAAAATAATAATATGAAATTGCGATTTATGAAATAATGAAGTATTTATGATCTAAAGGGTATCAAAATTTACAAAAAAAAAAAAAAAAAAAAAAAAAAAAAAAAAAAAAAAGCTTAATATTTATTTGTTTACCTTATTAAACATTTTCGTTGTTCTTTACATTATGGTAACTTGGCGATTTTTTGGCGAAAATTTGGCAACCAACTCTCCTACAGCAACCCTCTATTTTTTTTCCCCGCCGCCATTTTGTCTTCACGAAGTAAAGACATGTTTCTTTTCTTTTTATCTACTGAACACTTCTTCCAACAATCTAGTAGCCGAATTACACTTATGCTAGAAATTTTATCAAACAAAACAGCTTAATCATGACAAATATTCACTGCAAAATTGGGAAAAAGTGCACAATACCATACTCCTTACGCGTTTTTTCAAAATAACACATACACATAAACCATGTACACGCCGACTTATTTTTACTTAAAAAAATCCCAGAATTGCACAAAAATGGCATTGCGCACACTCTTCACTATATCCATGTACACTGCTTTTTTCTCATAAATTAGAAAAATTTCACGAAAATACATGACAATTTTCTCAATCTTTAAACCCGGTAAAAAGAACATATATGAAATTACCTGATAGCGAAGAAGTATTTACCCTTACAAATATGAACATTTCCCACATATAAAATAATAAAATATCCAAAAACTTTTACCTCTAAATCATCTTTACATTATACACGTCACCAACGAATTCATAAATTCATACCGCAAGCATTACAAATACTTAGTATCAAATATTTAAATTATTTCCATGCACGTTATTTCAACTAAACGTATACCAAATTCCTACAAACATAAAATTCACAAAATAACTATCATTTCATTAAAATATAATTAAATTCAAAAACACTACTTAAAATATAAATGAGCCATACATTAAATTAATAAAAATTACCTTACAATCCTAATTACTTTAAACTAAATCATTGCTAATAACAATTTTCCCAATAATACCAAATTCCTTTCACCTTACATTTAGAACAATGCTAAAAATAATATCCTCAAATAATTAAAAATACTAACTTACCTAATCTTCTTCAGAATCTTGATACGTGGCGGATACACTTTTCTAATTCATTCATATATTATTGACAGATTTTTTCCTGCGAATTTTCCTCCATACTTCCTCCGCTAATAAAAAGCAAACTTCTCTTTATCACAATGCCTAAATACCCATTTCAAATTCACTTTAGTTAGGGCCATGGGATCCAAAAATTAAACAACACTGTTTCACACAACACAGAATAAAGCTAAATACAAAATTTTCCACATTTTTCCCGATTTTCCCCATTTTCCAATTAAGAAACCGTAATTCGTCCATTAATATCACATGACATATCCCATGATCTCTCATTTCCCTCACGCAAAATAATGCGTAATCGGAACTGAGTACTGCTCACATTATTACCAAAGTCCCAGGTAGTAACCTTTATCGCCTCCAAAATGTCGATAAACTACCAGTTACCATATTGTAAAGATCAACCAACATTTCTTTCAATGTAAGGTATTTTAAGTTACTTTGTTTTTTATGCTCATACTTTCTCTTTAATTCTGTAGACAGAGATAATCTCTTGTTCAGTTACATTGTTGATGTCCTGTAACTGCTGTTTCAAGGATTTCAACTAACTTGTCAATCGAAATTTTCTCATTTTCAGTAATCGATAATTAAAATAATAATATGAAATTGCGATTTATGAAATAATGAAGTATTTATGATCTAAAGGGTATCAAAATTTAAAAAAAAAAAAAAAAAAAAAAAAAAAAAGGCTAAATATTAATTTGTTTACCTTATTAAACATTTCTTTCAATGTAAGTTATTTTAAGTTACTTTGTTTTTTATGCTCATACTTTCTCTTTAATTCTGTAGATAGAGATAATCTCTTGTTCAGTTACATTGTTGATGTCCTGTAACTGCTGTTTCGAGGATTCTAACTAACTTGTCAATCGAAATTTTCTCGTTTTCAGTAATCGATAATTACAGCCTGAATTGTATTAGTTTAGTTATTTGTTACACTTATGTCTATTTCTTGCACATGCTTAAGGCTTGAGTTCTGAATAAATAAATTTCCACATATACTTAAGCTTTATTGAGGGCCGGCACTAGATATCTTATCGCCTGATGTAGTAGTCTCTGTGGGTCCTAAATTCTGTGACTTAGCACAGCCATACGAGCCCTGGCACTGGTTCTGGGTTTATGCGAATAACAAATCAGTTATTCTTAATTCAAACAGCCCTTGGGTCTATGAGTATCATCAACAAAATCTATTTTTAGCATATGGAAAGACATTTTTGGTAAAATTTTCCTCGTCAACATTTTTTAGCGCATTTAACTGAAATCTGTAATCATCGCCAAGCGTAATGTCAACATAAAAGGTTACCACACAGCTTTATTATTCAAATGCTTACATAATTGTTTAAGCATCACTACATGAGTCATTACTTGTCATGTTTTAATAAACATGCGGTAATGAAAGGAAAAGTATAATAAATAATGATTCGTGAGGTTGGCATCAGATCAACGATGTATCTATGTGGAATGTTTCAGTTTAAGGATGTGTGCCAAGCAAATACGCAGCAACGTAGCCAAATTACTGATCGTACAAATTTATGCTAAAATGATTGTTTCTTCAATAGCAAAAGTATTTTATTTAGTGTCGATGTGAAATTAAGAATTGGTTCTTAATTTCACATCGACTCTGGGTACTCTCCAGATGTTTTAATATGCGTGGAGGGGGAAATCAAATGCGCATGCATAAATCCCATGAGAAATATTTTGTTGGTGGTTTTGAGGTCCGGATTTTAGATCATTCCGGATAATGGACGTCCGGATAATGGATTTTGTACTGTATATATATATATATATATGTAGTATTTTAATTGCATAGACAGCACCGGTACTTCAATGGGCTTCGCAACACAGTGCATGACATGTCCTGTGGCAGCAAGTGTTTTCTCTAATGAATCTTGCTACAGTGTGGAATAGAATGATTGAAAAGTATGTGTCAGACATTACAGAGAGGAGCACATCTGCTTCCGTAGTGTGTTATCCAGCAATAAACTGCACAAACACCAGGTATCATGGTGTGAGGAGCTATTGGGTATGAATGTCAATCCCATCTAGTGCAGATTGCAGGCAACCTCAACAGTGATTGCTACATAAGAGAAGTTGTGGAGCCAGCGGTCCTCCCCATTCTTCGATGCATTCCAGGTGCTGTATTTCAGCAGGATAATGCCTGTGCACATGTTTCTCAGACTGCATAAGCCTTCTTTAGGGCACAACAGGTTTTGCTTCTTCGATGGCCTGCTTATTCCCTAGATATGTCACCCAATAAGCATATACGGAATTCCATTTGTTGGCAACTCGCCTGTACAGCACACACTAAGACTGAACTTTGGCATCAAGCTGAATCCACATGGAATGCCATTCTCCAGAATTACATTCAGAACCTGTATGATTCAATGTCACAATACATACAAGCTCTCATCGCTCAGTGGGGCAGACACACAAGTACTGATTTCTGATGTTAGTGTGTATATACATTACGCTATTTTGAAACAGGAGGAATGAAAAATGAGCAACAGCCTCGCCGGGAATCAAACCACAGACCTCTGGAATACGCGCCCAGCATGCAGACCACTACACTACAGAGGCATGCTAAGAAGGTGGGAGAAATATGTTATAAGTGTTTGTTTATTTTTTGTTATATTTTTGGTTTTATTTATTTTTTGTCTTGTAAATATGATCCTTTATTTGTATCACTATCAGTAATGTGGACTAAATTTCATTCATTTCTGACAATTCCTTCATGGTCTTGCATTTTTCAAATTAGTACATATATAGGTACTATTCGGTTTCGAGAGCCGCAAAAAAATTGCATCGAAAATGTATGCGCGAAAGCGTCAAATCTAGCAAACACACCCATTTAACAGCGTGCCAAATCTCACGTACGCGCTGATTTCAGATTGCGTAAGTATTATAGTTCTATATTTCTTAAGACGCCATTCAAATACTAGTTTAATTTTTTTATTCCTTTTTTTGATATCCTATGGATTTAACAATTTGGGAATTGCCTGTGATGAAAAGTCTGCGATAGAATTTTGGATAAAGTGTGGAATCACCTACTGCTTGACGTGTTTTTAAGAATTGCACATACTCGGTATCCATGTACACATCGATTTATTTTCACTTAAAAAAAAAAATCCCAGAATTGCACAAAAATGGCACTGCGCACACCCTTGACTTTATCTATGTACACATCGACCCATTGTCACTTAAAAAGTAAAAGAAAATTGAAAAAATTCCAATTGTTTTTACCCTTGTAAAATGCGGCAAAGAAAGAAGCGGGCGATTCTGCACTTTACCGAAAATGTTTTCAAAGAAAAGGCATCATTCATTATAGAAAATTATGTTTGAACAACCAACGAGATGACATTATGCTTTAACGATAACTCGGTAGCGAAATATTATATGAAACCTTTTCTCTAAATTAAAGCATCAATATTTATATAATTATTTACTATTATACTTCCTTTCTTGCGTTAGGGTTGCCACAATTACTTTTGGCAGCACTGGCATCAACAATAGTTTGGCGATTTTTTACGGCCCTCGAAACCGAATAGTACCTACATATATATATATATATATATATGGGAACCACATAAAAGCCTACATGTTGCTGAACTACATAAATACATATATTTACAAGCACAGTTTGCTATACATGTACATGTATAACCAGAACATGATTACTGCATAGGGCAAAAGAAACATGTTCGAATATTAATGAAAGTAGGTATTGTATGCAATGAATCTAAGAAAGGATCTGAAATTACAGTCACTGATTGGCTTAATTTAGCCTATAGGCAATACAAGAAACCTTCTAAAATTTACAAAACAAAAATGAACTTACAGCTGATAAGCCTTGACAATGATGATGCTGTTGCCTACAGTGATATTAATAATAATGTCATTTCTGTACCATCAACAACCAGCTAGATCAAGCCCAAACTTCAATGAAAAATCAAGACTGCATTCCTGGGGGGAAAAAAAAAAAAAAAATTGTTAGTTTGCAAATAAAAGCACCATTACAGCAGCTGAGTTTTGAATTTGTCATGGTTATAGGACAACATGCACGAAATAACTTTCCACAGAAAGATATATGCCTCAATATTGCTTATTTGCTACTGTTAAATTTTTTAATTTTCTGTCCTTATCTCATATAAAAGAATTCTTGTTTTCAAAGTATTGTTCACTTAAAATGTTTCTAGAAAGTGTAATTTTTTTCACTGTTTGTTTACTGAAACAACTGCCGAAAAGTATCTTACTTAAAAAATGCAGTCAAAATAAGTTGAAGATAAAAGATCGCTTTCTCACTAAACAAATCTAATTGGTGCACATTCTCTCTCTACAGAAAAGCACTTGACAGAAAATGTGAGCAATACCTTCTAAAAAATCTTTCAATCAAATATTTCCTGAAATTTAATGAATCTCTAAATTCAAGTAAAAAAATATTTCTCTTTAATAAAATTATTAGATTACAGAATTTAACTCCTTAACGAATCAATCAAAATTCAGAGAGACATTTTTTTACCAATTTTTTTATTCTTTATTTTAATTATACCAAACGACCATTAACATATCTTGGAAAATTAAATATGGAAAAAAAATTCTTTTTTAGAAAAGTCCACTTAACTACATTTGTCATTGAACCAATTTAACTCAAACAATAAAAAAATCATAATACTACAAAGACTGAAATCCAGACATCCAGTGTCTGGAATGATCTAATATGTAGATGCCAGACCACCAGCAATTCTTTTTACTATAATTTTTTAGTGGAATAGAAGAAAAAAATTAGATTCTGAGTGTACCATCTTGTTTTAGCATATGCTTAAAGCTTCACATATGCTGAATAGACATTTTTATAATAAGCATGGGAAGGAATTCTTAATTTCACTTTGGCACATCCATGCTAAAGAAACACCATCATTTATTACCATTATTGATATCAATTGAGTCAACATCATCTATGAAAGTAAAGTTACAAAAAAGTAGTGTTGTAGTTACAGTCACTACATTACATGCTGGTTTACATAGCATTGTCCAAATAGAATGTTCTCTAATCCCAGAATGCATCTTTGCAATCATGAAAGAAATCTGCTCCTGGCAAGTGCCAACATATGGTGTGGACAAAGGCAACAATTCGGTTAGAGTAGATTGAAGGGTGCCCCTTGTACTATCGTGAAGTTGCTTCATTTATGGTAACCTGAGTAGTTGAATGTTATGGAAACCCTGTTATGACATAATCAATTACGTGACTGTAGTACCTTTTGAATAATTGGAAAATATTTGTAAAGGCTTGTGGTATGTGTTGGTTAGGAAGTATATTGCTTGTTTTGTGGTCTACACGTTAGAACGGCTAAATGTGGTAAGATTAATTTGAAGTTTCTGTACAATTTGGAAAAGGGAAAAAGAGCATTAATTAACTGGTGTGTAAATGAAAGGTTTACTTAGTAGCCATTATATGCATTTTGTCTGTACGGAGGAAATATGTATGGTCGAACGTCAGACCATACTGAAGGATATTTTTTATACTGATTTTTGTGAATTTATGTGGCGATGCAATTATACGGTTCTAGTTCAGATAACTTTAGGAAGTTTTTGGATGTTGTTAAGGAATTTTGTTTGACTGAAGACAAAGAAATTTACAAATAAGGTGAGTGGATATTTCCTTTGTGTAGTGTTAAGATGAATTTCCTTTTTTATGTTATTTCATTGTTTGATTTAAAATGTAGTTTATTCAGATTATCTATTTTTTTGCTGGCTACTCCTTTGACTTTTTAAATCAAGTGAATATAGATCGATGTGTACTTGTACAATGTCAAGAAAGTGTGCAATGCCAAGTTTGTCAATTCTCTGATGTTTTTTGAAGTGAAAATACATTGATGTGTACATGGATAAAGGGAGTGTGCAGTGCCAATTTTGTGCAATACTCTGATTTTTTTAAAGTGAAAATAGGTCGATGTGTACATGGATACCGACTTTGTGCAATTCTTTGACTTCTTATTTTATCTTTGTGTAGCAGCTATGCAAATTCAAAATAACAAGTCAAAGAATTGCACAAATTCAGTATCAATGTACCGCCAAAAATCCCCAAGGTGGAACTGTAAGTATATTTTTACTAAAAATTCCTACAAAGTTAAATACAATGGCAAAATCCATTCACGAAACTTTTAAACACAGTTATAGAACATATTTTTTCAGGATAATACATCTCCAAGTGCAGTTTTTTTTTTTTAAAGGGCTGGGGCCTTTTTCAGGGCCATAAAAATCTGGAAAAAGAAATGAAGCATTGCTAGATATAAATATACAAGTTTTTTATCCTGTTTATTATAACAGAATTAATTAGAAATCTATTTAAACATTTAGTTTACTTTTTTACGCTAATTTTGGTACTTACATATTAGTACAACCACCTTGGCACAGTTTGGAGTTTTACAGGAGGAAAAAAAAAAAACTTGGTAAATTTTTGGATTACATCTTTCAATGAATGTAGTCTTCTAAAGAATTGTTATGTGAATGATTATCAGATTTCAGTAACTTCTACCAAGGTGGATGCAATAATACCTAAGTACCCTAATTTTTACTTTCATATGCTTTTGAGCTCGAAACAGTTTAAAAAGCAGTACTTTTTTAGGTTAATCTTTGGATTATGGTAACTTGGCGATTTTTTGGCAACCAACCCTGCTACAGCAACCTGCTAGTTTTTGTTTGGACACCATTTTGTTTTCATGAAGTAAAGGCATTTTTTTTTTTACTCAACATTTTTTCCAACAATCTGCTAGCCAAATTACGCTTATGCTAAAACTTTTATGGAACAAAAGTGCTTAATCATGACGAAGATTAGGTGCGAAATTGGGAGAAAGTGCAGAATCGCAAACTGCTTGCCGCGTTTTTAAGAATTGCACATACACAGTATCCATGTACACGTCGACCTATTTTCACTTAAAAAAAATCCCAGAATTGCACAAAAATGGCATTGCGCACACTCTTGACTTCATCCATGTACACTGCTAAAGTCCTAGCTAGTAACCTTTATCGCCTTACCAAAATGTTGCCAAACTACCTGTTACCATATTCCAAAGATTAGTAAAGATTTCCAAAGATCCAAAGATTTATAACATTATGCTTTTCTGCCAACCCAAATTTAATTGCATTAAATATGTTGAACCAGCTAATTTTTATTTGCATATGCTTAATATCATGCTATGCACTAAATATCATGTTTAAAACACTAAATTTGAATTATTATTTCATTATTATTTAATCATTATTTCATATAATTTATTTCAAAACATAACCATATATCACTAAAACCATTACCGGTGGTGAGCCCAGCGACAAGAAATCCACTGTCACCAATGGGTTCGATGCAGAAGTAAACCCGATTATATGACCAACATGTTTAGCGAAACCAGTTAGAAGCCATAGTTGATCACTTAAATTTAATCAAAACTAAGAAAAAAATCTGCATTCATAGCAAAACTTCTTCTACACAAACAAGACTGGTGTAGAGGAGAATGCAATCAGTTTCAAAATCGAGAAACAAGATGAAGATTTGCTTGATAATTCTCCACGTGTCTTCATTCTGACCTTGGCCAAATATTTGAAGCCATTCTTTACTGGTTATACCTGACTGGGTGTTGAACCCTTTTGAAGCTATTTAATGAATTATCCGTAAATGAGAAGCTGAAATTGATTTTTGAACAAGAATACCACAAATTCTGGTTATGAAAATAAATACAGCAGTTGACTTTTTCCATTGAAGCTGTTGATTGCTTTTCCGTAACTTACCATATCTACTAGAACATGAATTTAGTGCAGTTATGAGCATCACAATGAAAAAAAGAAATCAAGAGGATATTAGTGTTCATAAGGGCATACGAATATCACTCACACACAGTCAAAAAGAAATAATCCCGTATCATCCAATCAAGATTCATCCATCTCATTAAAAAAATTCATATTTGTATTTTAAAACAAAAGTCATAACTTCAATGAACATTATTTCAAATATCAAAATCATATTTTATTTACCATTCAAGACACTAAAGTTAAATTTATGATATTTCTATCAAACAGTAATGTTATTTCACTTAGGGGTTCATGGTCAGGTTTCTGCTACAAGAAGGGTTCCAGAGGCATTCTTTGGCAAATTTAGGAACCAATGCTCTAATACTAAATAAAATAAATAAATAAATAAATAAATAAATAAAATTCAGTTTTATTAAACAGTTTTCTATTATATTGCCCTTGAACAAAGCAGTGTTTGATAATTTAGCCCATTTCTTATTGCTATTTCAAATAATTATAAATTAAATACAAATATGATTCAATTTAAAAGATATAAAATGATGTATTACAATTACTTATACCAGAAAACAGTGCCATCCCATATTACAATATAAGAGGCTAGGTTAGGTTAAGGTAAAGCACACATAGGCTATTATTTAAGAGACAATATGCCTTTATGGAGAGCTTTGAAAGAGCTTTTTCTGAGCATTTATCTGTATTCACATTACATATAAGAAAAACCATGAAAACACCCATGCAACTTGCCATTTTGGTTGGATTTGAATGTGGGCAGAACTACCAGTATTCACCAGACTTATCTCCAGGGTCATAATTTAACAGAAGGTAAACTGGAGTATTAAAATTACATATGTCTGATAAACTAATTGGTTTTAAATTCAAGTAAAGCACGAAACTTCAGCTTTATATATGATAGTAACATTATAAATATTTCACTTTGCAAACAAACTTTCTACACTCTGTAAAAACATTTGCTCCTTAAATGATAACATCTATATTTTAAAAAGTTTTAAATAAAGAAAATTCCATTCTGAAATGATACTAAACAGTGCCAGATTTACTTTTTGGCTAAAAACCATTTGATAAGTAAATGAAACAAAATAAATAGTTGGTGAACTCTTTAGAAAATCCTTCGGAGAAAACAAATTTGTCTAACAAAAACTTTGCATGCAAAAATTTAAATACTTTTTCCTAAAATATTGCCAAATTCTAATTAACTAAAGAAACACCAACATTATCAAATATTTTACTTTATTTTTTCTTTTTTTGAGAGAATGATGCTTTCGGTGTTTTTTTTCCCCCAACAGCCGCAACTTATGCTATATTGGGGGGGGGGGAATCAGAGCTGTACACACCAAAGCGATTTATTACATGGTTGTCCCTTGTGCTTTTACAAGCTTTCATTTATACAAGGAATAAATTTGATTCATCAACATTACTGACAAAATTAAACAAATTTAGCTTTTGCAGCATTGATAGTAAAATTTAAAGGTGTGAATAAATTATTAATGAGATTTCAGAATAACGCATCTGAGAAGGCACCCTTCACGTCTCATCTACAATTTACAGCCGTCGATATATTAATAAACTTCAAGAAGCGCAAAACAACTTTTGAATTTTAAGCAGAATTATAAATTTAGGAATACTTACGTCAAAATGCAGCGCCATCTCTCGGTGACAAGTGGATGAGCGCAAGCGCAGATGTTATGTAATATTACATAAATTTGATATTTCAAACGATGAAATAGTAGACTTAATCGATAATATTTTGGCAACTCTAGCAGACGGGTAGAGAGCGGATAAAAGAATAAACGAGAGAAACGCGTTTAATCCTAGTATTTGGAGGGAAAAGTGAGTTTTTTTTTTACAAATTGTGATTTTACTTAACATTAAAATGCAGATACGGGGTTTAGCACTATATAACAATATACTGATTTGTTGTATCAACATAAATATAGCATATAAAATCTAAGATAGGATTGCACGTGGCGACCTATCTGTTGATGCAATACTTAACAGTGATTGCTGTATGCGGTATAAAATATTCTTATTGGGAAAGTACTGGTATAAAATAAATATAAGCCATACAAAGAATAATGAGTAGCGTTTCTTAAAGGAGCCTTTTGATATTAAAGGAAATGAAAGCTATGCAAACATAACACTATTTACTCTATACAGCATCTTCCGTGGCATGTCTGCATTTATATTGATTTAAAGTACAAATTCTAGTTAAATGAGTATTGGAATTTACTGCAAAAATTCTAATATTCATTTAACTAGAATTAATTTAAAGAAGCTTATTTGCCGCTAAAATATCGTCATTAGGTGCTGCTTCTGTCATTTGACAGCAAAATCATTAGAATCAATTTTTTTCAGCTGTTAACTTATCAAATATATATATTGCTCTCTATCTAATCAGTATTTTCTTTTCTTTTTGGGGGGTTGGGAATGGAGGTGATATTGGGTCATGTCAATTCGCATCACGAGCAACTTTTTAACTTTTTTTAAAGTTATAGTTTGATAATAGATTATGTAAGACTGTCAAGAAACAGGATTGAATTCATTGGAAAATTGCTTTAAGATTCTGGGTTTCCTTTGTACCCCCTCTTACCTTTTGTTATACAGTTGCTCAAAAAATTGAGTGAAAATTTCTGCTTTTTGTACCCCTTTTCGATCAGGACTTTATTTATTTTGTATATATTTAATTTCATGTGTGAACATTAAATTTCATTCAGTAACATATAAAAAGACCAGAGTTTTGTATCCAAGTACAATAATTTCATATAGAAAAAGCCTTCAATTCAGAAGTCTAAAAATTTAGTTACAAAAATTGAATGAACACGTTGTATAATATTTTTTTTTTTTTTTTTTTTTTGTAAATTTGATGTTTGTTTCGTTGTATATTCTTTGAATTAAATAATACCTTTTACTTTCTCAAGTGTGGATTATGCCAGTTTTTTGCCATACATTGTTATTTGCGCACCTCTTTCAAACCTTTCTGGTAATTTCAAGTTTTATAATATTTTCCGTACTTTTCTGTTATCAAGTCTGAATTCAGAAATATCTGTGTGTATGCATGTATGTACATACATATGTATATGTGTGTATACACACACACACATATATATATGTACACACACACATATATATACACATATTTCTGAATCCAATCTCAACAACAGAAAAGTCCAATTTTTGTAGCGTCGATTCCCCTTTTCTGATCACATTAACTTGGGATCAAAGGCTGTATATTATAATTTTTATAATCATGTTAACTTTATATTATTTTATTTATATATTTTTTATTATTTATTTATCTATGTATATATCTATTAATTTTTTGTATAAATCTGATTTTATTGCTGAGTTCTAATTAATATGGTGACAACTTAAAAATAATTGAATTTATTTTCATTTAAAAATGTAACAAAATTCGAAGATTATGTTTTTAACGAAGGTCAGGTGCTGGAATCTGTTTTCGCTTTGTTTATCGAAAGTTATTTTCAAGCCGTATGACTTCTTTAAATTCAACTTTTAAATGACTTCATTAAATTCTTCTTGAAACATTTTATGGCTCTATTGTAGACTTGGGGGGCCCCTTCAATTAGCGACAAATTGTTCACTTTTGGCAATGAAAACCCATTTCTGGTTACCATGGTAGTTTTAACTTTGTTTTAGCTTCCCAATTTTTTTAAGTGAAAATAGATCAATTTGTACATGGAAAAAATTAAGGTAGTGTGCAATGTCTAGTTTGTACAATTCTCTGATGTTTTTTAAGTGAAAATATATCACTGTGTACATGGACACAGTGCAATTTTTTTACTTCTTATTTTCGTTTTGTATAGCGGCCATTGTGAAATTGTATCTTCCTGGTGCCAATCTTGGTGTCAAAAAAGAATTGCCAAAAAACATAAGGAGCACCCAATTATAACTTTTATCCATTTTTTTAATTATTAGTGATGAATAAATCAAAGTGATACTCTAGTTTTGGAGAATTTACCTCTATGTGTTATGTTCTCTGCTTGGTTTTGAGTTGCTGTTTGATGTAATGGACTTTGTTTCATAATTATGACAATTTCTGGGGAAAGTGCAGAGTCACCCACTGCTTGGCACGTTTATACTCAGTATCTATGTACACATCGACCTATTTTCACATAAAAAAAATCCCAGAATTGCAAAAAAATTGCATTGCGTAGTCCCTTGACTTTATCCGTGTACACATCGACCTATTTTCACCTAAAAAGTCGAAGAAAATTGACAAAAATTCAATTCTTACTCTTGTAAAAAGTGTCAAACAAATAAGTGGTCTATTCTGCACTTTACCCCAATTTCTTATAAAGTGTCTTTTTTTTTAATTAGTTGATTCACTCTCTAAGCAACTCGTGTTTGTGGATCCATCATGAAGACCATGTATTTAAACAGCCTTTATTAGCTAAATTGGTATATTTATTTAGTTTAGTCTCTATTTTCATAAACTTAATGTTTATTAAGATATTTATTGTTTAAGAAAGTAAGGATGCAAAATATATTATATACCAAGTGACAAAAAATCTCATGACCAGATAAAGCCAGTTATGACACCCAGAGAGTAAATTTTTAGATTTAAAAAAAAAAGTAATTTATTTTGCAGCATCATTTTGCAAATTCAATTACAAGTTGACACATAAAATTTAATATATATTGTTCAAAAATAAATTAATATATAAATGTTGTTCAAAAATAAAAATTATAATTAAATGTGTTGCTTACATATTATCACAACCACCTTAGTAGAAATTGCCAAAGCTTAAGAATACACCAAACTTTGGTAACCAGATGCATAACAATCATTCAGGTAACCAAACATACAGACATGACAAATGTTCAGTTTCCAATTTCGCCATTTTTAGATGTGTTCTTTTTGTATTCCAAGTTCCAACATCTTTTGTAGAAAATTTGCAATTATTTTTTGCCTTAAATTTGATTTTAAAATTTATGCTTATAGGATTTGCCTCTAATAGAAGAGAAGTGAAGTCTCTGTGGGAATTTTGTCTGAGTCGCTAAAGGAACAATGTTTCAGATTCAATTCTCAAAGTGATGGCTACAAAATTTCCACTACAACAAAAACATGTTTGCAACTGGGTTTACTGATTGCCTGTTGAAATAACTATATAGTTGAAACTTAGAATATGTACCTAATAAAGTATGTAATATAAATTGTTTTACACTAAAACTAATTGTTACTTTTCTTCCATACTTATTATTCCGTATCTAATAATAAGTATGTAATATATAATATTTTACACTAAAAGTAATTGTTATTTTTCTTCCGTAAAATTCACCAAATTGTGGCAAGGTATTTGTGATACAGTCAAAAGTCTTTAAACCGGACGTCCATAATCCAGAATGATCTATAATCCAGACCACAAAGCTACAAACTTTCTGCGCAATAATACCTTTTATGCATACGCATAATACCTTTACGCATGCTTGTTTAATGTATAACGGACGGTATAAGCTAAGGTAAAATTATCTAATTATCTATTTCAGTTAATGTTGCAGATTGCGTTGTTCCTTAATCTTCTAATTGGATCCGGCGTATTATTCTTTGCAGACTGTTAGAACAATTTTATAAAAGTAAGCATGAACCTTTAATTATGTCAAAATGTATTTCCGATTCTGGAGCTGCCAAAGGATCTACAAAGCGTGAAGTTTATCAATTTCACGCTGCTCTTTGGGAGGGGGAGGGGGGGAACATTGTGGCATGCAATGAACTGGAAGTTGATCTGTCAGCACTATCCTTATCATCAGGGCAGATGTTTTTATTTTATGCGGCTTATAATTCCTTACTGTATTTGTAGTATTTCATCTCTATGTACTCCGTCTTTGATATGATTTAAATCAAATTCCTCGTCATTATAAATATCATGAATATACATCAAATAGTTTTCTGGTTGCAATTTTCTAATTTCGACTGTGTGTAATGTATGCTTTACGCATGCGCTCATTGAAAGAAATGTTTAATAAAATAAACAAATAAATATTTAATTTTTTTTTTGTAAATTTTAATACCCTTTAGATCATAATTGCTCTTTATTTCATAAATTATGGTTTCATATTTTTAATTTTATAATTTCTGCATTTAAACTGATGATCTATAATCCGGAGTTGCCGAAGTCCGAATTAAAGACTTTTGACTGTAATAAGTAAGTACGTTAAATGCTTATATTTTTTTAATTATTCACTCAACTTTGTTATATGTTATAGGTTTCTGTGAAAAAATTTACTCACCTCCTGTTAAATTAACATATGAAACTTCATTTATTTGGTGATACTTAACATTGTAAAATTAGGTGCAAATTTATTAAAATAAATGTTGTGTAATAATGCTTGCATAACAGTTTACACTGTATGTTAAAAATGGTTTGATAAGTATTTGCTCAGTTTTGTAAGCTACTGCCTTTTATTGCATTTGATAATGTCAAATTGTAATCCATAGCACTCATTTGCCAGTGTCCACTTTTTTGTGTTTGTACTTCATTTGATTTTTATATTATATTAACTTATTTCAGATTTCCTGAAAGTGATTAAACAAGATGAATATTGGCAGTGATAACTCCTGAGTTTATTTAGTTAAATTTTGTATCAAAAATACAATCTCTTAAAAATGCTATCACTTGAAAATTCAACTCCAAATTCTGAACTGATACCACAGCGCCAGCTGTGCATTCCAAGCAAAAGAACCGTTCCTGTCACTAGAGCACGGTTTGAGAAGGCACGGCCAAACATTAAGTTTTCTTCAAAAAGGACAAATGAAAAACCATCACGGGACAAACCTGCAAAAGAAGAAGTTTCTCAGTAAGTTGTATTTTTCTTTGTATAATAAAACTAGCGTGGTCTGTTATAATATTCTTTTATGTAAACCAAATGACCTTTTATGATAGATATAAACACTTTTATGATACTTAATCTATATGTGACCTCAATAACCAATGTGAAAATGTCTGAAATCTATAATTTTAAAAATAAGCAAAATTTACTAGTACTATTATAACCTTATATGAATCTTCCCAAAAATCCATTCATTTATGAAATAGGTATACTTTAGAGGGAAGATTCAAAGGTACTTTTCCATTTTGCCGGCGCAACCAATAAAGTCGCAAATAACAGTACAACCGAATAGTGCCAAAGGGAATATCCTCACTGGTAACCTTTTACACCTCATTTTTAAAACAAGTCGCAGCCATTTTTTATCAGATTGATTGTTTCTTTCAATACTGCATACAATTACATAGAATTTTTACCCAGATAGTTCAATTTTATGCCCCTAACGCCATTCGCGGAAATTAGTCAATTAGGATGCAATGACATTGCTTATCTGAAGGCTAAAATATAGAAAAGGCAAAGTCAAGGGTTAAATTTATCAATTCTAATGAGAATGCACTAGCAAAGTAAAGCACTGCAGTTTTACGTAATTCTCAGTAAGCTATTCGTATGAATTGAAATAATTCTTGCATTTAAACTTGTATTCCAAATTACAATTTAACATGAAATTAATGTAGATGTAGTTTGACCGTCTCAAGCGCAACCCTGGTTGGCATTCTGCCAAAACACATAGATTCTTCAAAAGGGGCAGTATTACTTGCTGCGACGTGAAAGGTTTTCTCTTCTTTGGAAAGAGCGATGCTGGAGGGGAAAAAAGTCCCCATCCTTCCACCCTATTTTGAGAATAATTCGGTCCGAATGGGTCATGGTCGCGGATGAGGCGGTCGAACTATAATTACTGAGAGAATTAGATTTTTGCAGTGTAGTTTATATGAGATGAGATCACTGTGGTCACGTGATATGAACCAGTGAATCAGGATGTTGTACCATGAAAGCATAGTAAATTTTTAAATTAATCTCTATTTACAAATTTATTGTCTTTATTTATTTCCTTTTTTAGAAAATTTTAAATAACATTAAAATGCTTATACCTTCAAAATAAAAAATTCTTAGAACTAATATTTGTCAATATTTTTTGTGTGTATTCTGTGTGCTTGCCGAGATTTGCGCCAGCGAAACAGAAAAGTATCAATTCAAAATTGGAAAACATAATGATTAATTGATTTTTTTATTTACTTTTCTCACATCTATTAATTACTTAATTACCTTCATTAAAGTCATCTAATAGTGGGGGTAAAAGTATATTATAGGGTATCCCTTGGTGAAACTTGGTGATTTTTGGCGGTACATGGAAACCCAGTTTGTGCATTTTTTGACTTATTATTTTGGCTTGCATAATGGTGATTTTTTGCTAAAAATCGCCACTACACAAAGTCAAAGTAACAAGACAAAATTGCACAAATTCTGTATCCATGTACACATCGACCTGTTTTCACTTAAAAAAAATCCTTGAATTGCACAAAAATGGCATTGTGTGCTCCCTTGACTTTATCCATGTACAAGTTAACCTATTTTCATATAAAAAATTCCAAGAATTGGACAAACTTGCATTGCGCACTCCCTTCACTTTGTCCATGTACATATCGATGTATTTTCACATAAAAAGTCAAAGGAGCACCCAATTCTACAATGTCGGCAAACAAAAGTACATAATCTCAATAAACTACATTTTAAACCAAACAATAAAATAACATAAAAAAGGGAAAACGTTTTATACATTTAAGCACTACAAAAAGCAAATATCCACTTAACCTATTTAGTAGTTCCTTCGTCTTTAGTCTGTAGCACACAAAATTCCTTAACAGCATTCCAAAAACTTCCTAATAATGATCTAAACTCGAATCCGGTATATTGGTGTCACCACATCTGAACCTTTCTTCCTACAAACCCATTCAAATCCGTCTAAAAGGTTTTTGCATTCGACTAAACGCATATCCTTCCTACATACAGGACACTTATAATTGCTACTAAGTAAACCTTCCTTTACACACCAGTCAATTAACGCTCTTTTCCCTTTCCTTCCAAATTGTACAGAAACTTCAAATTAATCTTACTACATTCAGCCATTCTACCATCTAAACAATAAAACTAACACACACCACAAAAGCGCTTACGAAACATCCCACGATTCAAAATTTCCCAGAATCATGCACCCGATTACATCACAATAGGGTTTCCATAACATTCAACTACTCAGGCTACCATAAATGAAATAACAACTTGGCGATAAATGAAACAACAACTTCACCATAATACAAAGGGGTAACTTAAAGTCTACTCTAACAATAGTGGGTATAAATAAACAGTTTGAGCAGTTTTTGTTAACGATGCCATCTGGACAAGGGCTTGGCCCTGGAATGGCAAATATTTTCAAAATTGCCATAAAAAAAGATATATTTTCTTGATTATAAGAAAAAAATTCTGCTGGTACTTTATACCTGGATTCTTTTTCTGGTACTTTTCCGTTTCGCCGGCGCAAATCTCGCCAAGCAGACTTTGTTGGTGACAACATACAGTATACACATAAAAAATGTTAATTCTAAGAATTTTTTTTTTTATTGTGAAGGCATAAACATTTTAATATGGTTTAAAATTTTGTAAAAAGCCAATAAATAAAGACAATAAATTTGTAAAAAGACATTAATTTAAGAATTTACTATGATTTCATGGTTCAAAATCCTGATTCGCCGGTTTTTGTATCACGTGACCCCAAGTGATCTTCATCTCACGTAAACTACGCTACTAAAAATTTAATTCGCTCTCAGTAATTATCTACATTAATTTTCAAGTTAAATCTTAATTTGGAATACAAGTTTAAATGCAAGAATTATTTCAATTCGTACGAATAGCTTACTCAGAAATTATGTAAAACCGCAGTGCTTTACTTCGCTAGTGCATTCTCATTAGAATTGATGAATTTAAACACTTGATTTCGCCTTCGGATGAGCGGTGTAATTGCGTTCTAATTGACTTAATTACCGTGAATTGTCTTAGGGGATAAAATTTAAATATCGTGGTGTAAAAATTCTATATTATTGTATGCCAGTATTGAAAGAAACAATCTGATAAGAAATGGCTTCAACTTGTTTTGAAACTGAGGCGTAAAAGGTTACCAGCGAAGATATTCCGTCTGGCATCAGTTAAACCATTATTGGCGACTTTATCGTTTGCGCCGGCAAAACGGAAAAGTACCCTTTTTCTTTTAATATAATACCATAATCTCTTGGACGAGTTATTTTGTGCATAAAAATGTTTTATAATGTATATAACACTGTTTTGTCTTGGCTGGGTCGAGTATGGAAAAGATTGCTAAAGTATTGATATTTATTGCAAGTCGGTAAACATCATCAGTATTAGAAGAAAACACAATTAGCAATTTAAAATATAAATTTTAATTATCGAAGAAGGATTAAATGATGTAGGTCTCACCATGAATATAGCAATCTGTATTCAATGAATGAAAAATCAGAGAATTGCACAAAGTCTGCATAGTACACAATTTTGTTACTTACCTTTTCCAAGAAACTGCTTTTTTTTTTTTTTTTTTTCTGGTGCTGTTTTCTTCCCGTGTGCATTGCGACTGTTTTTTTCTACTAAAGATATCAGAGAATTGCACAAACTTGGCAATGTGCACTGACCATGATCATGAAAAGAAAAGTAAGGTTTATAACAGATTAAAATTATTATCTAACAGCAAAATTGTCAAACTTGTGTGCACCCAATGCTTCATTTTTGCCCAGTTCATTTGAAAGTTGCAGATACTTCCAAATGAATTGGGCTAAAATGAAAAGGAATTGGGCTCCTGCTATGTTAAAAATATCAAATTATAAATATTTCAGTTTCATTTAATAAGGAAACTAAGCAAAAAAAGGTTGTTGCAAAACATTTTACAGAGAATTTGGTGGTAAACTCGGCAGTCGGTGGTGCTAGTGTTTTCTCTTAGGAGATAATATGTAAATATCACAGTTTCAAATTTCATTCTTTGTATTATTGTTTTATGGAATATGCATATTAGCAGTGTTTAAAGCCCCGTTCACTAGAGCAGATTCGACCGGTAGCGAAAACCGGTTCTTCCAACGTGTCCCTTTCACATGGGACAAGCATTAACTGCCTTGCCGAATTGGAGGTAGAACTTGGTTGAATGTTCCTTACCTCTCGGGAGCAGGGCAAATGGAGAGATTTTCTGTACCATACTGCGCGGTTCACTTAATTTTAGTTACTGCTCGCTGGACTGTCAGCGAAACTATCGCACTGATAGATGTCTGGGGATGTGATAGCATGCCCCCAAAAATTAGATAGAACTGTACAAGATACGGAAATTATGGACAAATACAGACAAGGTTATCTGATGCTAGGTATTCCAGAAATATCGTTCAAATTAAAACTAAAGTTAAGACAAGTGCATATCGGCTTCAACGCAACAAGGGACTCGATATTTTTTGAATGATTTTTAAAAAAATTAGCATTTTCATCTACTTTTTATGAATATTATTAAATGGTTTTGTGAGACAAAATAATTTTAAGCTGAAAAAAATGTTTTTGCTAGTAATTTTTTTAATTTAAATTTTTGAAGAAAAATTTTACAATTAAAATGTCTATCTTCTCCTACAATTTTCAATGTCTCCCCCAGTTTTTTTTATTGTATTTATTAGAGTGTTTTTCAATAATTTAAAGGAATGATTTTGCAATTAATGAATTAGTTTCTGAGAAAAAAATAAATATACACTTTTATCTAAAATCTTTAAAACAGATATGATTTCAGTCACATTTTCATTTCAAATAATTTTTCTTTTGGTATTTTGCAAAACCCATCCTTGTTTCTATAAAGTATATAATTTTAAATAAGCAGTAAAAAATAAATAAAAAAAAAAAAAAAAATTAGTCCATACCTGTATATGTTTTAGGACTTAAAG